TTCTGTAAGGGGGGAAGAGTTGTGACATCCTGAATAATAGTCCATTTGGGATTTGTAAAATACTGAATTTTATGAATGTACTCGTAGTTAGTTCTCGCCCGGCACTGATCATTCCTAGGATGCTAACCATTAGGGAAAGGCTAATCGTGGAAATTAAATTCATACGACTAAATAAAATTCGATCGTGAATTGACTTTCGACCATTAAATTGTCGAGGTGATATTTTGAGCCACTGTTGACCGATCTAAGGATAGTCAGGGGTCAATTCGCCACTGTCACAGTAGTGGATCGCGGGTGATACCGCTGGACCACGAAATGAATTGACGAACGATCCTGAATATATACCAAACGATCGTGCCCCACGGATCTAGTAATTGATCCTCGCGATTTTATTGATAACCGAAGTCGTGACGGTCTGAATAAATTGCACGTGACTCGATTTAGTGTCAGTCACGGGTCGAATAAGTGAATTTCCCCAACAAGCCACCCGTTAGTTTGAGAAACACTCGAGTTACGTTTAATAGAATTGAATTATTTAATTCAGCCCAAATTGGACACCGGAAAATTTGGAAGTCACAACGGGAAGTTAGGACGACGTTGCGGATGTAACGTGCAATTTTTGTTGTGCCCGAATCCTTCAGAAAAACTTGATTTTGATGAGAAACGGAGAATCGGATCATTTTACCCTTGAGATTTATCAAAGGGCATGTTTTAAAGGGCAAGGGTATTTTGGTAAATTACCAAAAATTAGTCAAAATTGGATATAAGCCCTTGACCCCCCTTTCTCTCTCTCCTCTCTCTTTCCCCTCTCTCCCCCGTGAATTTTTCCCCCCTTGCCGTGAGCTCCCCCCCCACCGTATACTCTCTCTCTCTCTCTCTTTGCCGATCACCGCCCCGCCGCCTCGCACCCCTCACGCCGCCCCCATCCCGCCGTTCTCTCTCTCTCCCTCTCGGTTTCCCCTTTGGCCGTGAGCCTCACCGGCCACCGCCCAAGCCGCGCCGTTGCCACCCAAGTCAATCGCCGCCACCCGGGAGCCGTACGTCGTCGCCGCCGTTCCCGATTAAGTGCCGCCGCTTTCCGTTCTAGCCGCGATAGCCTAGAATGCAGGTAAGTGGCACTCTAAACCCAATTTAGGACGTCGGGTATCGACGGGCGATTTTTGGGCGAAATCTGGTAAAAGTTAGGTGCGGAATTGCATGAATAGGGAGTGGAAATTTTATGGCGGGCCTTGGGATTTAATTCGGGCATTATTTATTGGAAATTAGAAAATAACAGTGGCTGTGATCTACTGTTCACGGGGCAGTGATGGGCCGATCGGGACGCAAGTTGGATTTTTAGAACCGAGAATTTATGGTGAGAAAGTCCCGTGAAGAACCGGAATCGATTTGACGTCGTTTGGTTAGAGAAAAATAGCAATTTATGTGTTTATTGTGCGTTTGGAATATAATTGAGTTGGGATGGTGAAATTAAATGTGTGATTGTGCGATTGGTTGAGTTAATTATGGTTGTTGGGTGCACGCGTGGGCCAGATTATTTTAATTATTATTATGGGTCGTGTTGAATGCTGAGTGAGCATGGGATTGTGTGTAATTGATGCGTGCACGGGCCACGTGTGATTGGCCAGTTGTGTGTGGTAAATGCTTGTTGAGCATGTGCTTGAGTGAGAAGGAAATGTGGCGTGATATGTATTCGTGGAAATTGTGCCGTCCTGAGGTGTGTACGTTTACGCGGGACGATGCCCGATATTACCGGAAGACTGCTAGCCTGAGGCGTGTACTTCAACGCGGGTTACGCAGTAGGTGGTAGGTGTTGAGCCTTAGGCGTGTACGTTTACGCGGGCAAGAAACATGGCCTGAGGCGTGTACGTTTACGCGGGCCTGGAAGTGTTGTGGAAAGATGTCGCAGTGTACCTGAGGCCTGTACGTGTACGCAGGTCACTGGCGAGGAATGTGAATGGGCTATGATGAGAACGAGGTCGCAGTATACCCGAGGCGTGTATGTTTATGCTGGTCACTGGCGAGTAATGTGGAGGAGATATGATGAGAACGGAACGAGCGCATGACATGAGAATTGTGCATGCTTGTGATTGTGTTGATGTACCTGCTATGTGATGATGGTATGTGTGTGATTGTGTGTTTGGATGATTGTCTGGAGGTACGTGATAGCCTAGGTGGGGTTTAGGGGTGAACTTGCTGAGAAGTGTTCTCACGGTTGTTTCAACCGACAATTTCAAAACCCCGACAGGAACCATGAATCCTCCACCGCCGCCACCAGAACGTTTTGGAGTCCCAGTGCACACCGAGGTTGACGCTATAGAATTTCCGATGGGAGATGGAATGACCTGGATTAAGCACACTTCTACCGTGTTTATAGATGTAGGTTTGCCTCTTTGGGAAGAGCATAAGTACAGTGCCTGGTTCTTCCGAAATGTTGACGGGGCTGAGTTCAGGCCTGTTAGAGGATTCGATGTTCCATTCAATTTAGTTGGGGATTGGGACCCGACTGCTATACCCCCGATTGATGGAGAGTTGACCAGTACGGAGGTTAGCGTAGCGCAGTCTGGGATGCATCCAGCACCAGCCGCTCAGGGATCTTCGGAAGCTGAGTATGAGCCCGAGCCCGAAGTATCGCAAGCTGAGGATGACCCGATGGACATAGATTTAGAACCAATCCCCGAGGAGGAACCAGACGAGGAGGAACCCGAAGAAGTGGAGCCCGAGGTAGAGCCTGAGGTCGAGTCTGAGGAGTCGGATGAGCCGGTAGGAGACCCGGAGTATATACTCCTGTTTGAGGAATATATGGATCCCAATTACGTGCCTGAGTATAATTTCTTCGATTTTCTGGCTGAGGAGTATCATAACGCTGCTCCAGCTGAGTCGGGTGACATTGATCATCCGATTGTGATTGAGGCGGAACCGGAGTCTTCGGAGGAGCCATCGGATCAGGGGAGTTCAGACTCCGGTGATGATGAGTCAGACTCAGAATGGACGCCTAGCAAGGGGCGTAGGGGTTAGTTCAGGGGTTCCTAGTAGGTTTTTGGAAAGTAACATTTTTGGGGATAGAAAGCCAGGTCATCGATCTTTTTGGTATATCGATGGTTTGTAATACGGTGTGCAAGTGTATGTGATGGTTGTAAATTGTGGCGGTTGTAAGTTATGAATATTCTATAAGAATGTTAATGGAAATCGAATATGTGTATTCTCCCTGAATATTCTCCCTAGTTTAATTGTCCGGGTTAATTGTTAGTATCCGCTGTGGTTGTAAATCTCTGATGGCGATTTGAGGTCGGCGATAATCCTGGGATGTCGCATAAATCGACCAGGTAAGGGTGTCGTGTGCCCGATGGGGTTCGGGGCGTGACAGAACTCGATTAAATGGGTGCGAACATAAACGCAACTCAGCGCTCCACTCGCTGCCGGATCCCTCGTACATTTCTCTATCCATTACACTTTGCTTTGAAAATAGTATCACTCAATGCACTTGACTCGACTATCCTAACCATAAGCCGATCCTCGTCGTCCGCCATGTAGGAAGACATCGATCCGACACCCAAACTTCGTCATGCCTAAGCTCACGCGAGATACTAGAATGGCATGTTAGTTGAGATTTACGTGATTCGATTCAAGTATCGGTATCTACTCCACGGAAGACCCAGCAGCAAATAATCAACTAATTAATTGGAGAATTACAAAGTTACAATCACCAACACATTCAAGTGTTTCCCACACCTAAATTACACCCGAACCCACAATATTTAATCTCACGGAGAATTACCTCACGTCTTGAAACACTCACGTCTCCACGGAGAAAACGCCTCAATTGGATGTCAACTTCTCTTTTCACAAAAGGAAAATGACACAAATAGTCCCCGAACTGTAGCCCAATGTGCAATGTGATCCATGAAATTTAAATTTGTTCAATGTAGTCGCTAAACTAATTCTATATGTTCAACTTAGTTCTTAAACTATATGAAAATATTAAATGTTATCCTTGAACTTGAATTAATGGTAAGACATCATTGAACATTTTCATATAGTTCCTGGACTAAGTTGAACATATGCCAAAAGTCTAGTGACTACATTAAACAAATTGAAAGTTCAGGAACCTCATTGTAGGGGTGTGCAAAATAAATCGCCCAAACCAAGAATCGCCCTAACCGGACCGGACTGACCGGTTGGGTTTAGTTTCTGAGAGTGTCGGTCTAATTCCCGATTCCTAAAAGTGGAATCGGTGTCCAGGCAATTTGATTCCCGGTTCCAAGGGGGAACTGGACCAACCTTACCGGATCCATTGACATAAATCCATTGACAAAAATTAGTAAAATGTGAGCTAAACCTTAAGTGAACTTCATTGATATAAATTTATTAACAAAAATGAGCAAAATGTGAATTAAACTCTAAGTGACGGGTTTCATTAGAACCAGATCCGACCGGGAATCGATAACCCCTACCTCAATGCACATTGGTTAAAGTTCAAGGACCTCATTGCATAATGAGTTAACATTCATGGATCATATTAGACAGTTAAAAATTTAGGGATCATATCATATATTATCAAAGTTCAAGGACTATTCGTGCCGCTCAAAAGAGTCCCACAAACAAACCACTGTGCGTCCGAATTTGTTTTCACCGTGCGACCGTGAAAAATCCTTTCACTGTGCGGCTTAATGAAGACCTTCAATGTGTACCAGAATAAGAAAGTCCACTGTACGCTTGATCCTTGGGAATATTTATCCAACCAAAAACGGAGACGTTCTCCGTATGCACTATAATACGTATCCACTCGGATTTGACATATCTCCAAGAAAGACAAAACCTCGATACTCGCATGCCCATTCGTTGGATAACTCGAGCAATTCTAATCCAAAATAGGATAATATTCTGCTGGGATTTCTTCCCTTTTCTAGCACATTCGGTTTAAAACAAAACGATCTAATAACCGAGTTAGGTGTCGTACACGGACTCAAACTCGAGACATGAGTAAATATCATAGAGCAATAGATTTAAACAGCATGGCTGCTTTTATTATGGAATCAGCAGATTCGATCACATGATGGTTTTAGGAGAAAACTAAATAGCTCATTGGCAAGCCTTTACTGCCATTAATTGATTGATGGTATGTCCTCATACTGGCTATGCAGCGAGTTTGTCTTCGCTGCTTTCGCATTTGCCGCCACCAACTTTGGCGGTCGAGCTCCCCTCCTCCGTCGTTCTTCCCTGTCCATATATGTAATCATAGGAGATTAGTAATCCTCTTCGTCGCAAACATGATCGATGAGTTGATTATGGAAACTTCGCCGATGGCAAAAGTACACTACAAGTACCATAACTTGTGTACGGCGATCACTTTGGTGCCATAACTTTTTTTCGGATCACTTTGGTGTCAAGTCGGAGCAAAAGAGATCACTTTAGTGCCAATTTGGCCGGAAATCTGACGTGGCATTTTTTTATTAATTTTTTACGCCGACGTGGCTCGCCAGAGGCTGAGTCAGCGTGTACAGTCAGCATTTTTTTTAAATAATTTTTTTCAGCGTGTACAGTCAGCATTTTTAATTTTAAATATTTTTTTTCCTTTTTTTTTCTTCTTTCCTTTTTCTTTTCTTTTCTTTTCTCCTTCGCCGGTCGGTCGCCGGTGGCCGGTGGCCAGCCGGCCAACGGCGAAGCCCGGGAAGGGCTGGGCGAGGGCGGCCTTGCCCATGGCCGACGAGGGGCGGCCGACCTCGCCAGCGACAGGCGAGGCCAACCCAGGCGAGGGCTGCCCTCGCCCGACGCCGGCGAGGGTCGCCCTCGCCAGATCTGGCGCCGACGTCGATCGAGGGAAGCCCTCGCTTGGGCGGGCGAGGGTCGCCCTCGCAGATCTAGCTAGGGCGACCTCGCCCGCCCGGCGAGGCTTCCCTCGCCCGACGCGGGCGAGGCGACCTTCGCCGGGTGTCGAGCGAGGGTCGCCCACGCCCGACTTAGGCGAGGGCAACCTCACCCGCCCGGGCGAGGGCTTCCCTCGCCCGACGCCGGCGAGGGTCGCACAACGCCGGCGAGGGTCGCCCTCGCCGGATCCGGCGAGGGTCGCCTCGCCGGAGTCGGGCGTGGGCGACTCCCTCGCCGCCGCGAGGGTCGCCCTCGCCGGATCCGATGAGGGCGACCCTCGCCCGCGTCGGGCGAGGAAGCCTCGCCGGGCGGGCGAGGTCGCCTCACTTGAGTCGGGCGTGGGCGACCCTCACCAACGTTGAGCGAGGAAGCCCTCGCCTGGCGGGCGAAGGTTGCCCTCGCCGATCCGAAGGGTCGCCCTCGCCGGCGTCGGGCGAGGAAGCCCTCGCTCGGGAGGGCGAGAGGTCGCCCTCGCCCGAGTCGAGCGTGGGCGACCCTCGCCCGCCCGTGCGAGGGCTTCCTTCGCCCGACGCCGTCGCGATCGCAGATCCGGGCGAGGCGACCCCCGCGGCGTCGGGCGAGGCAGCCCTCGCTTGGGCCGGCAAGGGGCGGCCTCGCCTAGGCCGGCGAGGGCCGGCCTCGCCTGTCGCCGGCGAGGGTCGGCCGCCCTCGCCGGCCATGGGCAAGGCCGCCTCACCCAACCCTTCCTGGGCTTCGCCGGTGGTCGGCCGGCCACCGGCAATTGACCGGCGAGGGGAGAAAAGAAAAAAAAGAAAAAGGAAAGAAGAAAAAAAAAGAGGAAAAAAATATTTAAAATTAAAAATGCTGACTGTACACGCTGATTCAGCCTCCGGCGAGCCATGTCGGCGTCAAAAATTAATAAAAAAATGCCATGTCGGATTTCTGGCCAAATTGGCATTAAAGTGATCTCTTTTGCTCCGACTTGACATCAAAGTGAGCCGAAAAAAAGTTATGGCACCAAAGTGATCGCCGTATACAAGTTATGGCACTTGTGGTGTACTTTTGCCCTTCGCCGATTATGGAAAACATTTGCAAAAGCGAGAAGCATATCTTGACGAGTCAAAGAAAATCGTACTTGACTCCTGTCTGGAGACGGGAGATGACTGATTGTTACAGGTACAGAAGTCAAACGTTATTACACATGATCAAATGAGAAAGAAGAAAAGCGAAAGGAAGGATTGATAAATAAATGTTTGAAGTTGTTTGTTTGATCTGATGTAACCCAACTTCCGTTCAAACACGAGCTAAAGAAGTAAGAAGAAGAAGAAGAAGAAAGAGCCAGCATGATGAGATCAACACTCACAGCGCCTTGACCGTCCCTACTAATGAAAGCCTCTGCAGCTGCCTGAAGATGAATAGGCTCGTCGTTAGTGTATATGAAAATGAGTATTGCGTGACAGATCACACGCGCACACTCTAAGAAACGGAGAAAAGAAACAAAGAAGAACAAATTAACAGCTTCCCAACATTTTCGACCAAGAAAAAAAACAGCTTCCCAACATATATGGCAGACAAATGCGTACATAAACACATGCGAGGATAAGGATACATACTCTGGCCTTGTCCAGCTCTTCCTTCGTGAGCGTTCGCGGCTCGGAATCGATGGACAGTTTTCTCTCGAGCTGATTGGAGAGTTTTTGGGTCTCCATATTAGAGAGTAGTGTGTATTATTCTTTTGTTGAACAAAGTACCAGATCAGAATGAGAGAGGAGACTGGGGTTTATGTGAAAAAACTAGAGAGGGAAATGATATTAAGTGCGAGATTGAAGAAGAAGGAGAAGAAGAAGAGAGAGAGAGAACATGGAAACCATGAGGATATGGCAGGAGAACAAGAGCACTTGGCAATGCAATTGACTGTCCTTGGGAAGTTACTTACGTTGGGAGCTGTCTTTTTGGCATGTAGTCACTGATTGTGGTCGACGCATTTGACCAATTTAGGGAGGGCTTTAATTTCGAGATTTTGGAAATGAGGGGCTATTTTAAGTACCTTACCAAGGCTTCCTTGAATTCTTGGTGTTTGGTAAGATTCACCTCATCAAGAATAAGTGTTTCCACCGGAATAGGCCACAATGCCTTGTTTAATGATCCAGCGACCAATCTATCTACTCAACCCTATCTCTCTCCTTTGTGTTTTTTCTTTTGGGGGGACCAGAATACCCTCTTATTTTAACATCCTGAGGTCCGGATGAAGCCTTAGGGCCATTATTTCAAGTGATAATAGATGCTTACAAATCCCATGAGCAGAGCATAGTCCATGACCATCGTAGTTACGTCCACCTGAGCTAAATTTGGTCGAATTCGATGTTGGATGAACTTATTAGAAATAGGAAAATGACACGAATAATCCTTGAACTTTGGCTCTATGTATAGAGTCATTCCTGAACTTTCAATCTGTTCGATATGGTCCCTGACTTTAGTCCAATGTGCAATGCCGTCCCTAAACTTTTAATTTATTCAATGTGATCCATGAATTTTTTGTGCATGTTCAATTTAGTCCCTGGACTATACGTATATGCTCAATGTTATCTCCAAACTTGAACTTGATTAGACATATTAAAAGTATAGGACTTGATTAGAAAAAACGTGAAAGTATAGAAACAAAAAATAGAATTTTCCCTCATGTATATTTCACGTCAGAATTTATTTTTTGTGATTTGTATCCGATTCTTCTTATCTATTCATACACCTCATTTATTTTCTAGATCTATTTAAGAAAACAATGATGGAATCTCTACGGTTTTATAAGCAACGCACGCAACAAAAACAAACAAATAGTAGATTTACCATGTATATGAAAATGGTTTTACATATGTAAAACAGATTTGCCATGTACATGAAAATGGCTTTACATATGTAAAACAGATTTGCTGTGTGTATGAAAATGGCTTTACATATGTATTTCACTTGCTGGTGTATATGAATCATGACCCGGGTGGCAATTCTTGACACAATACAACGATATGACTAGCGCACAATGGAAGTTTTAATTTGTTGACATAAGAAAGCAGATAGAAATTAATATTTTTTTTTTGATAACCGAGATAACCGAGGTATCCCACGTGCAATGGACTATTCCTCGGGGTGGTGGGGTACAAGACCAATGCCACCGGGAAATTAATATATTTTTATCTATTGTTAATGCCAAATAATTGATATTCACATTGGTTATGGGAGGAAATAACATGAATGATTAATACAAATATGATGACACGATATGGATTATTGGCCCTATAGATCGACTGATAGTGAGATCAACATGATTGTTAGAAAGTCCAACCCAAAAGCTTAAGCTATTAGATGGAGGGAGACCACATGAATATAAAGAGCATTTAGGACCCGTTGTCAATCGATGTGGGATGATTCTTCAACACCCCCACTAACGTGCAAGCCGGATTACGAGCAGCACATTCACATGAAATTTTTACCACGTACATTCGCGAAAGGGAAAGCATTGGCTCTGATACCATGTTAGAAAGTCCAACCCAAAAGCTTAAGCTATTAGATGGAGGGAGACCACATGAATATAAAGAGCATTTAGGACCCGTTATCAATCGATGTGGGATGATTCTTCAACAATGATGAGCATAAAAGTATGCTATTCATGTCGCTACATGTCCGATGCTAAACATACATATAACTCCACAATATTCCCCATATTCTCTTAGGAATGTGCTATGAAAATGAAGTTTGTACCAGACAATATTACAAGACAGCTAGAAGTTAATTACGATATTGGTAAAGGATAGAAGAAGCATAATGGCATCTTATCGAGATGACACTGCGATCCATATTAGGGTTTCTTTACTTCATTGATGTTATCGGCTTCATCGTTGTCGTCGTCGTCGTCTGTATTGGCCATGGAGTCGAGCTTCGCGTTAACTGCACTTCCAACCGGTTTTAATCCCTGCAGATACAGCCTCTGAGTTAGCTGTACCTTAAGAAGTAGCCTTCAGAAGACACATGACCGTTGTTCATCAAAACCAGCCTTCATAATCACAAAATGCAAGCTAACGTAAATAACCTCATTTTGGAGCCCCAGTTCGGGTTTTGGCTCTTGTTTTACCCGGTCCACGAGGTTACAAGTGGATTTTTCATCGGGCCACTGATTTCTTCCTTAGATGGGCTTCCTCGTGCTTGAAAAGAACTACTGTGATTCGCGAACGTTAACTTCGTGCATGTTACCGGAAAGTACAAAGCCTTTTATGCTCAAGACTATTTCAAGAAGTTAATTATGCATAGAGTAGAGTTGCTTCTTTTTCCTTTTGAAAATTCTGGGTACCTGATGAATGGAGAGAAACATTAATAGATCATCGGAATGCATAAATGTATATATCGATGATTACCGCCAAGAAGATCTTCTCCGCTTCTCCTCGATTGTGGGTACTGATCACTTCAAGCGCTCCCTTCTGCTAAAATGCAAGCGTTCGCTAAGAATCGAAGAAAATGAACCATGTAGAAACTAGCTAGAAAGAAAGAGCAGTCGAACCAGGGCTTTCTCAAATTCTTTGTAAGTCAATGTCATGGGCTCGTTGTCGATGGATGAGCACCTTTCATGCTTAGGAGCAGATGGCGACGATGGCTTTTCCATTCTTGCTTCTCAAACGAAACCTGAAATTGGAAGATGGTGGGAGGGTACACAAAATCTTTTGTCTAGTTGAAGTTGCTCTTTGCCATTAGGTTTTGATTTATATCGATGACGGAAGAAGAAGAAGATGAAGAAGGAAGCTCGTAAGCGTCGTAACAGCAACTCAAGATCGTGCAGGAACGTGGCAAACATTCATGCAAATATGCAGCAGAGCTCTGTACACGAGGCATGGCCGAAATGAGAAACTCGCTGGTGGATGGTTGAAGGCGAGTCTAAGCCTCGTCTCTTCTTGCGTCAGTGCGTTACCTTTGCGAGTGAGGCGGGCTTCATGTGGGAACAAACCCTAATTGACCAATTAGCCGCAAGAGAACAATATTAGTCTACTAGGGTTGAATGCGGAAGTGTTTTTAGTATATCTAACTTTACCTTCGACGCATTCTGCGTATCTCGTATTATCGTTGCTGCATTTAATTTGCTTTTAACCCTAAGACACGTCGAAAAGAATTTTCCGTGGCATATGTGATGTCACCGATGGGCATGCGCTACAATCAACTGTGATTGTTGGGCTTTTGGTAACGCTGTTTGACGAACTCTTTTACTAAAGTGTGTTTGGTCATAACTTAATACTTATTGTACATGTCGTTGACTATGATGAACTTTGTGGCGATCATCGTACCGTCAGCGCATTTGCGTATCTCGTATTACCGTTGCTGCATTTTTGCATTTAACACGTAGGCACGCACAAGAGAAGTTTCCAAAGCATATGTGATGTCACCGATGGGCATGCGCTACAATCGACTATGATCGTCGGGTTTTGGTAATGTTGTTAAACGAATTCTTTGACTAGTGTGTTTGGTCATAACTTAATACTTATTGTACCTACTAATCATCATACGTAATACAGCTATTGGGATTAACATCAACACATTTGCGTATCTCATATTGCCGTTGCTGCATTTATTTTGCTCACAACACTAAGACATGCTGAAGAGAATTTTCCATAGCATATGTGATGTCACTGATGGGTTAGAATCGACAATGATCGTCAGGGTTTTCGTGACGTTGTTGAATGAACTCTTTTACTAGAGTGCACTTGGTCATGCCTCAACACTTATGGTACCTATCGTTGACTATGATGAACTTCGTAACGATCATCATTTGTAATATAGTTATGGGAATCACCGTCAATGCACTCGCGTATCTCGTACTACCGTTGCTACATTTATTTTGCTTTTGGCACTTAGACAAACCGAAGAGAATTTTCCGTAATATATGTGATATCAGTGATGCGTTAGGACCCACTATGGTCATCGGGGTTCCGGTAATGCTGTTTAATGGACTCTTTTGCTAGAGTACATTTGGTGATAACTATTGGAATTATTCGCAGAGATGATAGTACGTAAAGCGTATATAGCTATTCGAATTATTCGTGTCCTTATTATCGTAACAAAGAAATCTTGAGGCCGTGGCTTCTGATTGCCAAAATTTCCTTGAATGGTAAAGCAAAAAAATTAATTACTTTTATTAAAATATCATCTTGTATGTTATCTCTAGACCTAAGCTTTTATATATATTGAACGGCTCCGGACTCTCTTCTAAAAGGTTCATGATTTTACGGGACTTAAAGACCTCTTTATTACATTTGTTCGGAATTCTCTTGTGGAATGACCAATGAGATCATCGAACCGCCGAACTTTGTTGTTGGTATTCGAACCCCTGCCACCGGTACCCGGCGGTAACCAACTTACCGGTCACCGAGCTCTGCCGTCGGCCGCCGATTTCTGTCCGCCGTCGCCGAGGAAAAGTATTCTTTTGTTGAAACCAAATCCTTTTTTTTTTTTCCAATCCAAACAACTGAATGAGAATTCATTCGAGAATTCCTTGCCAAATGAGTCCTAAGTTCAAAAAACCAAGCATCGTACTTAGTCTCCCTCGTGCACAAAACTAAGCATCGGATGGTCGCTCCAAGTACGAAAACCCGAACGCTTTTAACCCTTGCCCGTGTCCATTCCTTCGGTAGAAAGCTTCGACGGATCCCTCGAGATCCGACTGCAACACATCAACATAGTCTACTAGAAACACGATAATTCGAATAATCATGGTGGGTACACGGCAAGGGGGGAAAAAAGATCGAGATAGAGCAAACCCCTTTAGAGAAAAAATTGAATCATCCAAAAGTTTCATAAAAACTATCATTCAATAAAGGGTTAATACCACGAAAAACCTCTACACTTGTGACAATTTTACCCCAAATTAATATTTTGACCACAAAAAACTCCAAACCGGTACACCCGTGACAAATTTACCCTCAATTCGTTTCCGTTAAATTTTACTGTCAAATTGCTTTGTTAAATGACACGCGACAGTTGAATGATGTGACGGTTTTATGTTTTACCCTCCGTTTGTCATAGATGTAGCAGTTTGTGATTTTTTTTTGTATTAATTCAATTTAACGAAAATTAACGGGGGGTAAATTTGTTACAAACGTACCAGTTTTTGTGATTTTTAGTGGTCAAAATATTAGTTTGAGGTAAATTTGTCAAGTTGTACCGGTTTAGAGTTTTTTGTGGTCAAAAAATTAATTTGGGGTAAAATTATCACAAATGTATCAGTTTGAAATTTTTCATGGTATTAATTCTTTAATAAATTCAAAAAGAGATAGAAAAAAAGAAAAGAAAAAAGAACCTGAAATGAATGAACGAAGCCCTTATCGGTCCCCCGCACCGCCCCCCCTCCGTGGGACCGCGGCGGATGTGAAAATGCGACCTCATTCGGCGGGCGCCAACGGTTTTCGTCCTCCCTCAACCCTCCGATTCATTCCCATCAGATGGAACGGACGGCCACGCGGCGGTCCGCGAGCGGGGTCTCGATCCCTCCTGCGGTACGCGCGACGCAGAGGATCGCAGCTCGCTCGCGTATGGCATGATCACATAGGTACCTAGAGAGAGAGAGACACCTTTTCAGAATCTTCTATAGAGAAAAGAAAGCACGCAAGAGGTGTTTGGTCAGGGCTGTCCAACTGGATTTATTTATATCTCAAAAAAAAAAGGAAAAATCAATTCTATAATTTTGCAAAGAATATGAGAAAATCATTATATCTGATCTTATCGGGTAAGTATGTAATTATTCAATCGATCACATTTAACATCTAATAATAACAATCTCTCACATGGTTTAATAAATCAATTTTTTTTGGATCAAAATAATTAAAAAAAATTAATCATTTGATAGATCAATTTTGGGATCGGATCAGGTATGAATCGGTATGTTTACATTATATAAATATGAGTCAAAATGTGTTAAATGAGCCAATATGAATCGGATCATTTTCGATCCGACCCAAATCGGCACGATCAACTATCTTGACATCCCTAGTTTTGGCGTATGATGTGAGAAAATTTTCTCGTGCCCCTCTGGGTAACGTAGCTATAAACGGCCGTTATATACCTTTTCTGGCCCCCTCTCCGTAACTCCCTAACGGCGCTCTCTCAATCTCCGTCAATCCACGGAACGGGGTGGGGGGATCGCATGCGGATGGGACATCGATGCGCGAAATGCCATGCGTGGATGTGCGCATGCATGTATGGATGGATGGGATGGATGAATGGATGTCCGCGTGATGTGACGCATCATGTGACGCGATATGCTTTCTTCGTTATCTCTATTCTCTATGCATCCTGTGCGTTGATGAGTGACAGCATGTAACCTAAGGCACGTGGCGACAAACCCAGGAAAAGGAAAAAAGAAAAATAATATATTTATAAAAATGATTGTTTAAGGAGTGAATAATTAAAATATATTTTTATAGTGTACGAAGATATTTGAATATAATGAAAATGTTCTTCGTTATAATTTATAAGGAATGCAAGTAATCAATTTTAGAAAACTATTTTTCAAAACATTAATTTTCCGAAAAACAAATGGAATATTCATTTTGGCTTACAAAAGATTTACGTGAATTATATAGAGATGGTAAGATCAATTCTATACATAATATTCGCTTAAGTAAATGTGATTAAGCCGATTTATCAAAATGAGTCCATACAACATTTTAACCGAAGATTGCTCTTGCTAACATTTCACAGGACGGACGAAAAAATTTCTCCTAGCAAGTACAAAATTTATCGAATACTGAAAAAATTCGAGCATACTTCTTTTAGCAATTGTAGTGCTATCCCACAACCCAAAATTTCCGAAAAAAAGAATAAATTTCTCGCAACTTTTGCTATATATATGGATACTAAATTTCGTGATTTTAGATGGAGACTATTAAGCTTCATCAATTTTCGGCGGCAAAATGAAGTATAAGTGTTCCATATTGACAAAATAGAGGAGCTAACTTAAAGAAGGAAGCTGCCCGCACCCAGATCATTACTCTTTCGGCTTTGCGGTGCTAAAAAGTACACAACGGAAACAAAGCGATCTCCTTCATGATGCAATCTGTGAAAAAGCAGAGGACCGCACCAAAACGAGCAGCATGAAACAGATCCAAAGTCTAACTAAAACAAAAACCAGCGACGATATACCATGTCTGAATCCGTTGAAGAGCAAGATTAAGCGAAAGCTCTCATGAATGAGGGAAGAAACTCTCGCATTCTGCCTACTTCCTTTCTTATCACTTCAGTTTCGTAGCTCAAAAAACCATGTCCAACATAACTAGGAAAACTCCTTTTGATTCAGAGAGAAGTCACATAACCAGAAAAGAGGAACAAAGATGGATCGATCCATTGCGGTACCGAAGCAATCTGTCAGATTTGTTCCAGAAACCTCAAACCACCGGAGACCGTGCAGTGTGGAGCGCAGCTTCTTGGCCTTCCGTCATGACGCTCCCTCAGAATATATGGATGATGTCATAAGCAAATCTTGTTCCGTCAAGGAGTAACATGGAGGAAAATGCAATTATATCAAAAAAGAATACAATGCACCTGAAGGAAAACACTCATATGCTTCATAGTCCCGTACAGTCACACTAGCAAGCATTTGGCAACATGATGGTATTGGTTTATCCATTGCACATATTCTCATGAAAATAATGCAGGGTCAGAATGAGACAATCGGAATAGATATATAGCAAAAGGCATGACAGTCTTAGGAACCAGAATAACAAATCAGGAAAGAATCAAGTTAAACAAGTCTAATAACTAGGACACACATGAAAAAGATTCACAGGACTGGGGTTAGATATAGGAGGGGAACACATAGAGATAAATGGAAATTTTGTTATCAGTTACTCTGGCTATCCTAGTCCATATTAGGTCATTAGCCCCCAATTTCCCGCCTTATAGACAGATATGAGATAGTAGTAACAATGGCATAATTTTGGAATAATGACATGTTAAGTCCTAAAATTAGTTTTGATCCGTCACTTTATTCCTAAATTTTTTTTGGTCCATTTAATAACCTAAAACTTATTTACGAATGCACTTCAGCAATTCTGATTCATCCGACAATTTTTTGTGGACGGAGGGCGGTTAACGTGATGAAGCTTCTTCAAGCACAAAATGACGTCGTTTCATTAGTAGCACATAAGAAAAAATTGAACAATTAAAAAAACAGAAAAAGCATATCTCAAACTCAAACAATTAAGAAAAAACAAAGAATGAGCATAACGCAGTGGGGCGGCATAGCGACGACGAAGGCCACAACTCTCGCAGCACATCTCATTGAATTAATTGGGGCCATTTGAAGTGACCGAGAGGGTGGAAGACCAAGAAGTGAGTACCAAGCGAGGCACTGCTTGCCCTCGCCCAGATTGAGCGAGGGCAAGCAGCCCCCTAGCCCCTGCTCATGAGTCTTGCCGGTGGCCATAACCAGGCTGCTCTCACCTTGACTCTGCTGAGGACCTGCCGGCCAAGATGAAGGGGGAGGCGGTGCCGCCCCCTGTGCAGCCACCAAACCCCACCCCCCCTCCCTTCCTGACTTCTCGACACTTCTCTCTCCCTTTGTCTTCTTTTGTATTTTTCTTTAATATACTCTTTTCTGATGTAGCATCCACATGGTGTCATATTAGCACCACGTGTCTACGTAATAAGGAAAATTTGATGACAAAAATTCCAGGTAGACTTTCTGTCCCCTTAAACTAACACAAGGAACAGATCAAGTGACAAACCGGAACAAGTTTTAGGACTAAAGTAACTAATCACACAAGCTTTAGGACTTCTACCGTCATTATCCCAAATCTTTTTTTGTTTTTTTTGCATCTTATGTCACCAAATGCCCCATTGGGAATAAATATTTTATTCTTAGGTGCCTAATGTCACACGTAATGCCTAATGGCAGAACTCATGACTGAGAGAATTACGTATATGCGAAAAGAAGTACCGACAAGACCATGATATTGTCATTCATCCATGCTCCATAAGCTACTTGAGATCATCCTAATATATGCAAGAAGAACTTCTCAGCCAGAACTAAACACCGATTTCATCATAAGGATACGTCCAAAACAGCACAAACGACTGCAAAACAGAAGACATTCATATAGATAATGTTAGTGAACCATGAACTTAACGACAAAACGGAGCTACCATACTACCCTGAGAACAATAAGATGTAAAACTAAATATTACATTTTTCATTCTGATACTCGTCTGGCATAGCTGCCTAACAAATTAACTCTAAGTGATATATCTCACTATCTTTAATTTGATTGACCGTTCAATTTGAAGAATATCTCTACTCTACTATACTTTTGACTGATTTATTATCTTCATTTTTCTTTTGCCTGAGTTGATATCTCTATAATTTTATGCATTGCTGATTGGATTATCATTAGGGTCTTGTTATTTATACCCATTACATTCTCTTTTTCAATGCGCTCACTACACAGAACGCAAGACAAACAGTGCATTGAAAATGACAAACTTTCCTTGATTAGGTATTTAACATATGGGGGCACTAGCCTACATAATCTTTATTATTATGTCAATTTTTCCCTCTAGAGTCAGTGTTTTCATGCACTCACCAATAACCAAGACTAACTAAATTTTAAGTGAACTTTGCCAAAAATCGCCCTTCCCCATCTGTTGATCAGATTTTTAGCATTGCCATTCTTGTTTACAAAAAAAAAACGTTTCCACTATTCTATTATTGGGGAAAAGAATCTACCAAGTGACAGAAAGCAAATTTTATGGAGAATGAAGCAAGTGGACTACCATAAAAAGCACGAGGTTCCACTAAATGGCACATAAACCCACCTCCTATAGGCTTACTTTTTTTTTTTTGGTCAGATCGTATACGCTTACTCACAAAGCCATGAATCTGACATCATCCAAATCCAACATCAAGTGATTAAGAATGAATCTTGTGAAAAACTACTAGACTTTGTAAATGAAACTACACCAGGTCTAGGGTAACTCACTTTAATTCTTTCAAGAAAGATCAAAGCAGAAATTTTAACTTTCATTAAAGATATAAAAGAAAAATAGATTGACCGAATAAGAAACATACCATAAGCCCACCCAGGAAACCGTCAAATATGATCTGATTCCAGCTACTGAAGTACGAGTGGACGGAAAATCCTGTCTTCGCAATAAGGCCAATTGAGGTGATTGCCATGACAAGAAAGTAAATTACGAACCCAGTTAAGCCTGTGAATCCTAGAATCCCGGCAATGACACCGCCGATAATGGACATAAACGTTCGGCTGCACAATGTGAAAAAAAGAAGAAGAGGTTTTGGTTTCAAACTGGAACTGAACAATAAAATATTTCAAGGCAACTTAAAGGCTGTCTGTTAGAAAAAAAGGTACTTTACATGTGCCTTCTAATACTGAATATCTCCTGGTGTACAAACTTCTGAAAGTCGATCCATAAGAACATCCACATAAAGCAAGCAAGCGTATCGATAAATCAAGATGCAGTCTGGGAATCTATGAGCATCCTAAATTAGTCCCACTTCAGTTTAAGCTTATACTATGCTCCAAAAAAGCATGGTAACAGATTTAACGAAAGCTTCTAAACATACCTGTAATATACAACTTTCATGTTGCTTTGCATATTCTCGCCGCTGAAGATTGGGACATCAATCTCCTCGCTTTCTTTTCTTCCAGATGTCTCTGATTCATCATGTCCTCCCATATCCCTAGCTATCTGCACCCAGCAATTTAACTCTCAGAGGATGGGAAAACAGTAGAGTGGACTACTCATAAACCTGTTTATATGAGCAGTCTGGCCTAATTCTTTGTGCTAAACCACAATGTTTAGAAGGGTCTCTCTTGACCTATGACAAACTGGTTTACCAATGAACCAAGTGGAAAAGAAGATTGCTTCTATCTCCATGAGGGATTTAAGCAATGCTAACTTGCCAAGTAGCAGTTGTGTTCAACAAATCTGGATTTCCCTGTCCTATGCAAATGAAACAGCATAGGATATGGGCTAAAGTAAAACTTGGATTCAAGAATGAACCTTGGTCAATCTACGTTAATCCCAACAAAGCCAAGCAGAAACTGCAGGTTGCCGTATAGCTTCCAATAACAAATGAAGTTTCTTCTATCGAACTATGAAGCCCATAACTTCACAACATCATTAATTTGCCCTAAACCAATAGTAACATGGATATTCTGCAAAATTCAGTCACGCCCGAAGCGAAGCACATGACAACCAACGGGTGAGCATCCGATCCGGTTCGACCCGGGAACCGGCCAGGATCGAACTGGTCTTTTCCGATCGCAGTGCAAGGTCGTCGAAATCGAGATCACACCGCGGGATTGTCTGAAGGTCTCCCGAGGATCGCAGGATCCTACGAATTTGACGAATCGAGTCCTAAATTACGAAACCCTAACTACTTTCTGTGCAATTGCGCACCATGTGATCGCAATCTGACGAGCGCAAAAACAGAGGGGGGGAACGAGACTCGCCTTTGATTTCGACGGCGAATCGGCGAGCTAGGCTTGGAGACGGCGGCGATTGGCGGCGAATCTGAGCCGGCGAGCTGCAAAAGAACGAGGGCGGCGGAGCTGGGTTGCTGCGGAGAGAGCGAGAGAGTGCGACTCTGTGCGATCGAGGAGAGAAGACAGGAGAGGAACCCAGAGGTTAGAAGAGACGTAAATTATTTTACCTTTACGCTCCTTTCAAAACATTTTTCGGTAAAATTTTTTTTATCGCGATTGCATTGCTTAGAAAAATAACCGACAAAAAGATTTTCCTATCAAAACTTAAATTCAGAAAGATCATTTTTTTTTAAAAAATTAAAAATTATTTTCGAAAATATGATTAAGTATTGACAATTAGACTAGAAAGCGCAAAACGCCACCCTTGTTCATGAGCCATTGGCAATGGTACCGTGCCCTTAGCACATAGGCTCAAGTCCATCGAAGCCGGGCTCGGGTCCATCTAGACCATTCCGTAGACCCCGACTGCAAGTCCATTAAGGCTAGGCTCGAGTCCTCGGCGTCTGTACCTAGGTCTATAGAGGTCGGCGCCCGTGTCCATCAATGCCGGGCCCAAGTCCATCGACGCCATGCACACTGTTGAGGCTAACAATACTACTTAAAGGGGGTGAGACTATGACAATTTTGCGAAAATTGATAGCTAATATGCAAAGATCAGGTTAATCAGATATTTTGAATAACGTGAACAATTAGGCTCCGTTCGTTTGCCGGAAAATATTTTTCAGAAAAATATTTTCTAGATTTTCCAGTGTTCGGGGGGCGAAAAATAACTTCCCTCGGAAAATTCAAAGAGGAAATCATTTTCCCCCAAAGTGAAGGCAAAATTGCCCATGGGAGGGAAAATGTTTTCCGTGGGAGAGGAAGTTGATCGCCGGTCACCGCCGTCGGCTGCCGGTCGCCGCCGCCGGTCGCCCCCATCCGCCGGTCGCCGCCGCTTGATCGCCGTCGCCGGCCGCGTGGTCGCCCGCCGCCGGCGATTCGGCCTGATCGCCGACTGCGGCCCGGCTCACTGTCGGCCGGCGACCATCACCGTCGCCGATCGCCGCCATCGGTCGTTGGTCGTCGATCCACCGTCAATCGTCGGCCGCCACCAGTCGCCGGCCATCGATCGTCGATCGCCGGCCGCCGCCGCCCGTCGCGCCCGCCGCCCGTCGCCGCCCGTCGGTCGTCCTACCGTCGCCCGTCGCCGGCCGCCGCCCGTCGCCGCGCCCGGTCGTCGGTCGCCGATCCACCGTCGGTTGTCGGCCGTTGGTCGCCGGTCCACCCGCCGCCGCGGTCGTCGGTCGCCGGTCACCATCGGTCGTCGGCCGCCGCAGGGGCGTCGGTCGTTAGCCGCCACCGATCGCCGCCCGTCGCCGCCCGCCGCCGCCGGTTGCTGATCGCCGCCGCCGGTCACTGGACACCGCCGGATCGGCGGTCGCCAAACACCAGAAAATTGTGTTCCAAGAAAACATTTTTCAGAAAAATGACTTCCAAAAAAATATTTTCCAAAAGGAGAATATTTTCCGCCAAACGAACGGAGCCTTAGTGCTAGTCTAAATAAGAGTGAGAGAAACAATAGCACAAAACGATGCATGGTGGTTCGGCTTTATTCCAAAATCTATGTCCATTATCCACACTAACAACCACAAATCAGGCTGGATTGCACTAGTAATCTGCTAGACAAGTTACAATGAGCAAACATCAATATTTTCATATGATAAATCTCACTCTTAGGAATCAAGTGTTGCTATCACTGCATACGCACTTGATCTTTCACACAATTACAAGTCAGCAAGAATGCTATAGTGAAGATTGCAAGAGAGTGACAATACTTTTTCGCTAAGAACACAGCTTTTGGCAGATTTCTGGATTTTATATATTGCATGTCCAATATATGGCCTTCAAGATCTTCTATTATATAGAAACATCTTCAATCTTCTTGTTGGAGATGTCTTAAAGAGACAACGAGCCATTGAAGATCCGTTGGTGCTGATGTTTATCGATAGAATTGCCTATATAGTCCTTTTATTCTAAACATTTGCAGGCTATTCGGAAATAGCTTCAGTTATTGTCCCTTCGTTGTTTTCATTACTCTGACATCTTTCGATTCTTATGGTGCGCATCTCTAGGCAACAACGGCTAATTTGGACTTTTACAACTATCATCTGGAATGTAGGGGTGTGCAGTCGGACCGGGTTTACCCAGAAACTGGATCGGCCCACCCAAAAAAATAGGTCTGGGAACCAATTTTTTCCGTTTGAACCGGTCCGGGAACAGATTCCATTTTTTGGGAATCGGTTAGAACTGATCCGATTTCTGGTTCCAAGTGAAAACCCACCCAAGAACTGGACTGGTTTTAAAACCGGTTTTATATGAAAGTCCACTTGCAATTTTATATGGCCAGAATTCAAAGTATTATATCGGGAAGGATGAGAGAGATGATCATTATTTGCAGATAGTCTAACTCAAGGGCTTCTAAGCATTATAGGGAGCAATTTCCCTTTTTTTAAAATTTTTGTTCTATAACGAGGAAAGTACATATTCAACTTGAACCTATGTTGTTTTATCACATCGATTAAATTATTGAGACTAAGATAATCTGCTTTTGTATGACTACTTAAGATTGTTTGCACAATCAAACTTACAACCTTTGATTTGAGTTATAAGTTTTTCTATTTGCTACCTGTAAAAAATGAAACCAGAAAAATGAAAAGAAAAAAAAGTTCTTGGGTGGATGCTGGAACCGGATCGAAAAAACATAGTAGGTTCCAAAATAGGGTCCCAGGGTAAACATGTTAGGTTCCAGATTTTAAAAATCGGGAACCGTTTATAACATGGTCGATTTTAGGATCCATGTCTAGAACCGACCCATCCTGGAATCAATTACCCCTACTGGAATGATTGTTGCTCCAACATCACTTGATATCTCTACCATTATCATGAACATTTTCATCAGCTGATCTTTTAGTCCGTTGGTCTTGTTTACGAACAGAAAGATTCGTGATCTTTTTCCTTCCCGGATATTATGTTTATCTTTTATATACTATCATGAACATCTGCAAATATCATTAGGGTTAATACCACGAAAAAATCCAAACTGGTACACCTGCAATAAATTTACCATAAACTAATTTTTTGACCACGAAAATCCTCAATTGGTACATTCGTGATAATTTTACCTTAAACTAATTTTTTTACCATAACAAAACTCAAAACCGGTACATTTGTGACAAATTTACCTTTCATTAAATTAGATAAATACCACAAAAAATCACAAATTAGTACACTTGTAATAAACGGAGGGTAAAACCCCAAACTGATACATCCGTTAACTGTTACGTGTTATCAAAACTCATAAATTCGATGGTAAAATTTAACGGAAATTAGTGAAGGATAAAATTATTATAGGTGTACTAGTTTAGGGTTTTTGGTGATCAAAAAATTTGTTTGGGGTAAAATTATCGCAAGCGTACCAGTTTAGGGTTTTTCTTGGTATTAACCTATATCATTATAAACTTTATACAAATGATAGTTTTGGAATTATCAAAATTCTTAAGATGTTTCTCCAACACGCGCTACCTCGACACCTGAATCGGGGTCCTTGGCTACTTATGCGCAAGTCACTAGCGTTCGAAATAGTGTATGTCTATTTAATAAAATATTTTCCTTACCAAACGATGAAAAAAAATTTCCAATTCATTTTCAAGTCTTAGCCAAACACAAGAAAATATTGTCATTTTTCTGGAAAATAATTTCCCAAAAAATAATTTCTAGAAATGTCACATTTTCTGCTAAACAAACGGAAGGGTATGTTTGTTTCCCGAAAAAAAAAAAGAATAATTTGGAATATTTTTCAAAAAATGATTGCTTGTATTGCTTACGAAAATGAATGAACGAAAAACAGTTTTATCTCTCCACGAAATATCAAGACATAAATTATCGTTGATAATGAAAACTTTTTTCATTGACTAATTATTTCAAGCAATTATTTAAAAAAATTTCCAAATCATTCACTTTCCATAAAATAAGTAGACCCTTAGATTTTTATTACATTCCTTATCTTCGCAAAGAATAAGTTAAGTATTGACCTTGAATGAATTTACTTATCAAATACATCGAATTGACATATAGAATTATTCGGTTACAAAACTAATTTTAAACACACATATTACTTACCTCGATAAATGCATAAGGATTTTTTTTTTACATAGATAGATAGCGGGCACAATAGGAATTCTGTTCTTCTTGTTTCGCAAGTATCAATATTCTAGTAACAAGCTCGGTTATACTTCAAATCCAACGATGGGTTCTTAAACGAGAGTTTCAAACTTGATGATGTCCCCAATGAAAACCCAATCGATTCATATAGATATACGGATTTACAAGTTGGATTTTCTCTAACCCGTATTTAAAAAAGACAAATTATTTTAATAATGCGAATAATTAAAAAATGGGAAAATGTCACCAAAAACCTCAAACTATGTCACTTGTGACATATTTACCCCGAATTTTTTTTTGTGACATGAAAAACCCCAAATTATGCCACTTGTGACAAATTTACCCAGAATTTTTTTTATGACACGAAAAACCTCAAACTATGCCACTTGTGACACATTTACCCCACAATATTTTAACCCATGGGCATTTTCGTCTTTTTTCTTTCTTTTTTTTTTTCCTTTCTTCTCCGGCGGAGGGAAGCCGGCGAAGGCGGTCCTCGCCGGCGGTGGGTTGGGCGAGGGCTGCCCTCACCAGATCTGGCGAGAGCGACCCTCACCGGATCTGGCGAGGGCGGGCGAATAATTTAAGAATTGATTTGGGCTGGCCGCCAATTAAATTCCAAACACATCTCTCAACTCGAAATATGGAAACTCAATTATGACGTGATAGAGAAAAACTGATCCATTATCATCACTTCACCGAGCACATATCTCAGCCATTCACTAAGTTTTAAGGCGACCTGTCGTGGACCCAAGCCATGGATAAACTTCGTTCAAAGCTTCATCCTCCTCACATTATCTTCTTCTTCTTCTTCCTTATCTTTCTGTCTTGCTTTCAAAGGAAAGGCAGAAAAAATACAAAAAAGCAAACAAACATTAGGGTTTTACCCAGCAAGACCGACAGACCATCGTCAAATGTTAAGATGACGATGATGATGGTGGTGGTTGTAAGAGATGATGATGATGGTCCATGCCATGCGCATACATGGGATGCATGTTCCACACGTTAGCACATAACGGAAAGGTGAGAGAGAAGAATACCATTTGACTTCATTCGAGAGAGAGAGAGAAGGAGAGAGAGAGGAATGAAGAGAATTCAATCCGATCGAATACAGCTTTGACGTCCGCAAGGACGACACACACCAACACACTCTCTAATTTCCTCTCTGTACGCACACAACACAACACAGCTAAGAAGGAACAGGTCATTGGCACTGCCAGTGTTCGAAGACGAGGAGGAGAAAAAGAAAAAGGGTACAAATTTCCCATGTAGATGCGTCGTTCTTGATACAGAAGCAGGAAGGTAGAGAACCCACCACCCAGATATCGTGAGCAGGGGAATAGAGAGAAGAGTTTCGTAAATTTCGTTAACAGTGATTTCAGAAAGAGTGGCGAAGACAGAGTGCTGATACTTGTAAATTTCAATTCCAGCTTTCGGTGAGTCCTCGCCAGTCTCTGTATTTTTCCTTCTCTTCTTTCTTTCTTTCTTTTCTTTTCTTTGTTTTTGGGTTGGTTTAAAATTGCCTTTGAGTGAGGTTCTACACTTAAATTTGAAGTATAGGGGATCGTTGATTTGGTCGCCGTTAAGTATCGACCGAGGGCTGTTCAAAGATGTTTCTTTTCGAATTCTTCAGCTTCTTTTGCCTTCGTTGGTTCTTTCTTGTCAAAAAAGGCTCGTCCTTTACCGTGTGAATGAGTTAATGAGCTTCTCTTTTGGGGTTTTGGATGGGAATTCGAGCGTGAACAGATGATGAATGGGTCGCTACTTTCATGGGTATGCTCCGTTTGCTTCCGTTTTTTTATGGGTTTTGCTTAAATTTTGTTATCTGCAAGCTGAGTTCGCTGATTCACTTCAGATTTATCACTACTCTTAACAACTATATTTTGTGCAGAAAACCCATGCAAGAGCCAATTGAGGATTTCTTGTCACCTGGAGATATTGAATTTGTAGAATGCTCAAGAGAAAAGCTTGTTCCTTACCCTCGTGCGTATGTGGTTTATGGATTTTGTTTGGAGGTACTCAACAGCAAATGCTTCGACGAAAAGCTCGGCCGTTTCTGTTGGTGCACAAGAAGGAACCTCACTCCCATAGCTTGGAACACGAGGGTGAAATTTCCTAGGGTTAAGCATCACTAGTTTTCCTACTAACTTTGTGTAACAAGTTCATGCAATTTGAGATTTTTTTAATACAGTTGTTTAGTTCATTATAGTTCATATTTTCGCGAAGAGGTCATTTTCATAAACTGACAGTGCAAAAGATGGTACCTTCGGGGCCGAGCACGCCCATTGGTGGTGCCCAGTCTGTCTCACCTTCACTTTTGCGATCAAATTCGGGTATGTTAGGAGCCCAAGGCAATGCTGTGCCTTCTCCAATGACGTTTTCGAATGTTGTGCCACCACGAGCTCAGATTAGTGGGTTGAATGTGCTTGGGAATATGTTGAATGCGTCGTCTGAGCTTGGCCAATCATTTGGAAATGGTGGTCAGAATCCAGCTGTTGCTGCTTCTGGAAGTAACCTGCACGGAGACATCAATTCAGCAGCAGAGTCTGATCCATTGTCATCTATAGGCAATGGAATGGGTTTCAACACCCCTTCTTCAACATTGGTCCCTTCGAACATTGTTAATCCTGGTACATCTGGTCCAGTCCCAGGAAAGCAATTTTTGAACCCACCGGGTAACCAATTGATGCCGGATTATTCCCTGTCCCAACCCCAGCCTCAATCTTTTGATCAGCAGAATTTCCAACAAGCAAGTCAGCAGTCAATGCAACAGGTCTCCAACCAGGTCAACACATCACAGCCGTCACAGCAGCAGTTCCAGTCAACTCATGGAGCATTGGCTGGCGTAGGACCCGTTAAATTGGAGCCGCAGATGGGCAGTGATCAGCTAGTGCAACGGCTGCAACAGCCAATGCGGTCGCTGAGGAATCCTGGACCTGTAAAATTAGAGCCACAACAGATTCCGAACATGAGAAACCTAGCACCTGTAAAAGTCGAACCACAGAACTCGGACATGTCCCTATTACATCAGCAGCAGCAGCAGCAAGTTTTGCACTTGCAGAGGCAGTCTCCTCAAGCTGCGGCCCAGATTAATCTCTTAAACCAACAAAGACTCTTGCTCCAGCAACAGCAACAGCAACAACTCATGAAGGTGATTCCCCAGCCACGGGCTCAATTGCCTCAGCAGTATCAGCAGCAGAACTTGCCCTTGAGATCTCCCGCGAGACCCGCATATGAACCTGGGACATGTGCACGCAGGCTTACCCGCTTCATTTACCAGCAGCAACGTAGGCCAGAGGTAGACTTTGTGCTTGATGAATGGTTTTTCATAATTGTATATTGTGATTCAACAATTGCTAATTTCTTTTAGGACAATAATATCGAGTACTGGAGAAAGTTCGTAGCTGAATTCTTTGCTCCCAATGCCAAGAAGAAATGGTGTGTCTCTATGTATGGAAATGGTCGGCAAGCAACTGGAGTTTTTCCACAGGTTAGCATTTAGACTACTTTACTAAAAGAATGTTGACCTCTACCCTATCAATATACTGGTGACTCTGTTGTAATTAGAATGTAGTTATATGCACCTCAGTCCCAGACCTGCTTGGTACGATTAGGTTCTTCTAAGGCATATGACAAATAATTGCTAACATTCTCTCTCAGAATTTGGCTGTATATGCTATCTGGACCTAGTTTTTTAGTTTATGTAATCATGTTATGAACTGTTTTGGTAACACATGTACTTGCAGGAAGCTTGGCAATGTGAAATATGCAATCGCAAACCAGGCCGAGGATTTGGTATGTTCAAATTATCACATCCTCAATTTTGTTTATTGCTGCTTGTGGATTGAAGAATGGCTATTTGGTTAAATTTTGTTCGTTTTTCAATGCCTGCATTTTCTGTTCCCTTACATCATGCGCAATATATGCCACAAGTGAAAAATGCTTCATTCATGCTTTCAGAAGCAACTTTTGAGGTCCTTCCTAGGCTTTTCAAGATAAAATATGAAAGTGGTACTTTGGAAGAACTACTTTATGTCGATATGCCACGGGAGCAGGAAAACTCATCCGGTCAAATTGTCCTGGACTATGCAAAAGCGATCCAAGAAAGCGTTTTTGAGCAGCTTCGAGTTGTTCGTGATGGTCAACTTCGAATTGTTTTCTCTCCCGACCTGAAGGTGATCATTGGTACATTATCCTCAGCATTTGGGCTATTGGGTTTGAACTACTCAACAATGCGATCTTGTGTTGCCTTTTGCAACAGATATGCTCTTGGGAATTTTGTGCAAGGCGTCATGAAGAACTTATTCCTCGAAGATTGCTGATACCTCAGGTAAATGAGAATTTTTTATGTACTTCTTTGAAGGGCTTTGTACAGTTTGTCTACCTGAGACTGAGATAATATTTTGGCCAGAATGGAGTTGAACTGTTTAAGAATAGCCATTACTAGATGCCTTGACGTGTTAAACTGCACATTTACTATCTAGGTGGCATATAATAAGACTTAATTGTTGCAATGTGTGCCACCCCATGGAATGATGCGGAGATGTATTTGACACCACCTTGGTTTGGTAATAACGCCACGCTCTTATGTCAGTCGTTAGTTTCTCAAAGTTCAACACTGAGGTGTGCATAACAGCTAACAAACTATAACAAAGTTACTAAGCCTTTCTTAATAGGAGGTTCAGCTATGTGGATCTTCTTTTGCCATTTATAATGTTCGTTCACTGGTGGTACCCTCTTTGACTTCGGTTTTGCAGCTATACTACTTGGTTAATATCATTATACATGGGATATTTCGTGGAACTGCATCCTCATTGTCTACTTTTTGGCAGCTCTCCACTGATAGGAAAATAACTATATAATTTAAATCATGGCCACTCCGTACCTTTGTTCGGTATCCATAATTTACCAATGAATTAGGGGAGCTCCCCAGAGAAAATTGACCCTTTTAGATGTCATAAGTAGCATCATTCTTACATCTATGAGTTGTTTGATAGTTCAGTAACAGTCAGAAGACAGAAGGAAGGAATGTTTGAATGAAGACGAGGAGTTAAGTTAATTTTCTTGAATGAATAGTCAAATTAATGGTAATCCACATTCTCTCTAGTTGATCTTGATCTGCCCTTGAATTTCATCACCAGTGAAAATGATAAGCCCTGTCCCACAAGTGGTGCCCTGTAATCAGTTATTGTTTTATAGCCCTGTCCCACAAGTGGTGCCCTGTAATCAGTTATTGTTTTATAATTGCCTGATTTACGTGTCAAGCATCTAAATGGGATGGTGGTGGAAGCGGCTGTCTATTAGAAGGCACTTCTGGATATTTTGTCAATTATCCATACTAGACTTATTAAACAGTATGGGAAGTACGACATGTGGTGACTCTTCTGCTTATTTGGGTGGTTTCAGTGCATTTCCTGATCTCTAGTTGGCTAATAATTCAAGGGTTCTTTACAACAAATGCAGGTTAGTCAGTTAAGCGCCGCAGCTCAAAAGTACCAAGTGGCTACCCAAAACGCATCATCTAATTTATCTGTATCAGAGTTGCAGAATAATTGCAACATGTGAGTTTTCTTGTAATATTGGATTGAAGCACTTTTCTCTTTCCTGAATTGGTAGTATCAGTGGACTTCTTTGCCTTTGTCCGACAGATGCAGGTTTGTAAATCTCTGTATGTCTTTTCTATCTCGGTGAATGTGGGCCCTTCCCACTTTTCTCTCTGTCTGAGAGAGAGAGAGAGAGAGAGAGAGAGAGAGAGAGAGAGAGAGAGAGAGAGAGAGGATGCTTGCTCCTTTTAAAGCTTCCTCTGCAATATAGAGCCGAGTCCCATGTGTGCCTGTGTAGATAGATGCAAGCGCTAAAAAATGCAGAGAAAAAGAGTGACCGTGCAGTTTCCCTATTTGTGTTACAATGCAGTACTGACTTGGCTGGATAAGTGGCTGTATGGCACTGTTTGCTGCTGGTGTGCATCAACCTGATGATTAATTTTTCGGGTTTTGTTAGTGTTTTTTGTAACATGGAAATTGGGATGGAGTGAAATGTAAGAATTGCATTACTGGAGTGGGAGAGGACTTTACTTTGGGATGATTGGGATCTCCTAATAAAGGGGAAGGATTTTTTTCCTCAAAATTACCCTACGTCTTCATTTCAGAAGAAGTTCATGATTGTGGAAGTATGACTCTGATATGTTAAGGCTACTTTTATGAATTACTTAAAAGCAATCAATAGACATTGCACGACATGGAGTTTGCAAATGCATAATTCTGGTTTTTAGTCTGTTCTACCTGTCCAATGTGGTTGATTGCCTTGCCGATGGCTAATGGATTTTCGTATTTATTTTTCAGGTTTCTTTCATCTGCTCGGCAATTGGCAAAAGCTCTTGAAGTGCCGTTAGTAAATGATCTAGGATATACGAAAAGATATGTACGGTGTCTCCAGGTAGTGCCTACTGGCTCCATGATCTATGGAGAAATTTTTGTGATACATTTTGAGTGATATCCTCATTCATGGAATGTATGGAACAATTAGTTGGAGACTTATTTAATTGACCTTTGCTTCACCTTTACCTTTGTCTGTTGGGTACCTTTGACTTTAGCAGCTCTGGTTTTTCCCTTACATTTTTTTCTTTTCTTCAAGTAGTCTTTAGTTGGATATTTGCTGCATGGAAACTTTGTTAGATCTTTGTGATCTGTGACTCATATATTCATTTGGCTGTTTTTCCTGGATCTCTTGCAGATATCTGAAGTAGTTAATAGCATGAAAGATTTAATTGATTACAGCAGAGAAACAAGAACAGGACCCATGGGTAAGCTTTTATGCAAGTTTATCTTCATCATGTTATTTTCCTTACTTTTCTGGCCAAAGGGAAAAAGAGCATCGTTGGTCATTTCCTCCAGATATTTTGGTGAAAACACATTTTTGATGTTTTGGTTCCTCCTCAGAAAGCCTGGTCAAGTTCCCTCGCAGAACAAGTCTGCAATCTCGGGGTGACAATGTACCTTTACAGCCTGAGCAACAACACCAGCAGCGGCAAACATCTGCTCAGACCACAAGCAGAGATCAAAATTCTGTCCAGGCCAGTGCAACGCAAATTCCTGCACACAGTGGTGGGGTCAGTGTAAATAACCCTGTCAATGCGGCTTCCTCTTCTGCATCTTCCAGCGCCATTGTTGGACTTCTACACCAGAATTCAATGAACTACAGAAAGCAAAGTCCTTTGGCTAATGTGGGTAGCCCTTACAGGGGAGCTGGTGGGGTCCATAATCCTTCTCCTGGTTCCTCCTCTACAGCTCCTCCAGCACAGCCGAACACGTCCTCATACCAACCACCTACACCATCCACACCCAACAATCCAATGCAAGGTCCCCATAATGCCCCTCCTGCTATTTCCAGCGAGGGCGATGCCAATGATAACCAAAGCTGTGTCCAGAAGATCCTGCAAAACATGATATCGGGCCAACTAAATGGTTCAGGTGGTATGGTTGGCGTCGGTTCTATGGGGAGCGATTTGAAAAGTGTTAACGGTCTTTCGCCAACTTGCGCTAATATGGGCCAGAATAGTACCGGGGGCTTTGTCGGGAATGGGCCCACCAGCAGTAACCCTGGTTTTGGAAGTTCTGGGTATGGCACCATGGTTGAGGGAATGGGCCAGGGCCAGTCTGCAATGGTCAGTGGCCTCAGGAGCGCAATGGCTAATGGTTCACTTATGAACGGACGGGTGGGAATGATGCCGATGGTCAGGGGACAAAGCATAAATCATCAACAGGACTTGAGCACTCAGCTTCTTAACGGGCTAGGAGCTGCTAATGGCTTTACCGATCTTCAGTTCGATTGGAAACCATCCCCTTGAACAGTGTGGAGAAGCGATGAATGGGTTATTGTTAGCAGAGAACATCATTAGACATGGCATGAACGCCATCAGCCCCGTAGGAGATCATATACCTGGTGAGATAGATTTTAGGGGCTTCCTCTACTTTCAACCTAATTCCAGAGAAACAGCAAAGTAGAACGTACAGCATACAGTGTTTGAGTCTCAAAGTGTCAAATGTCTTAAAATTGCTCCAGTTTTTCCCGTCTGAGTGGTTCTCCGTTACATAGTTAATACAGCTGACTGTCCGACTAACTGCCCTTGACAAGGTGAATTCGGTTCTGGGAGGTGTTACTATCTGGTGGATGTACCGGAAGTGTGTATTTCCCTCGATTCACAGCCAAACTGAGAAACTATTCACTGTACCTCATTCCATCTCTCTCTCTCTCTCTCTCTCTCTGCCTCTCTTCTCTCTCTCTCAATGTATAAACTTGTTGGGCCTTTAAGCATTATCAATGTACAGGCTTTTTTTTCTGGGTCTCTGAAGTGATTTCATTTTTGCAATGCTCTTTTTGTTCTCTTTTTTTTTCTTGACTATGTTCTTGCCATGAAGCTCCAGTGTCTCTCATGATACTTAGACTTGAAGTCGCAGTAAAACCAGGTCATCTCCAAATCCCACTTCTTTCTTGGGCGCAGACATAATGCCTTTCCCACCATGTCATTTGGATGGCCAGAGAACTGGGAAATGTCCTAGCAAGAGAGTATGGGATTTGCTGTACTTTTTGCAATAACGGTCCTCGTTGTCTGTTGGTCTGATTTTATTTCAGAGCAATGTCCGTGTGCTTGATGAGTACTTGAGTGTGTCCGAGAGTCTCTAAATTGATCCAGGGCTTGAACAGAATCAAAGGCAAAGCGATTCAGGATTGCTCTTTGACTCCGTTGTAGACATGATTGTTCATATGGTTTGCGGATTGTTGGGCCACTTTCTGGTCATTCAAAATTAAGCGCGTCGGGCCGACTCTGTATGGAGCACAAAAAGGAACGGCAACAGCTCTGTGGCTGAAGAAAGAGCAGATCTTTCTTTAGTAAGCACATCTCTTGCGAAAAAAGATCTCCTTTCTTCACCCACAAAGAAACAGTAGATTTCAAATGGCGGTATGTTCATGTACAACAACAACGGAGAATCATGAGGAAGGGTCTTATAAATACATCAAGTAATGTAGTACGAGTACTGGGGCAAAACCCTGAAGAGTGAATGTTTTGAGAGGCTTTCAATTCACAGATCAAGGTACTTCTCAATGGTGGCAGATAAGGTGGACTTGGGGACGGCCCCGATCACACTCTCCTTCTTCTCGCCACTCTTGAAGAAGAGGACGGTTGGGATGCTCCGGATCCCATATTGCGTGGCGATGGTAGGGCAGTCGTCGGTGTTGAGCTTGTAGCAGGCGATCTTGCCGGCGTACTCCTTGGCCAGCTCGTCGATGACCGGGGCTATCATCCTGCAGGGTCCGCACCATGGTGCCCAGAACTCCACCAGCACGGGGTTCTCGCTGCCGATCACCAGGTTGTCCCAGCTTGAGTCGGTCACCACTCGTACTGCACAAACATCAAGTCAAGCAAGCACTTGCATCTTATCTGTAGCAGCAATTATCCTTCCCCTTTTCAGAAAATACTTCCAAGTATCTAAGTTCATAGGACGATGGTGAAAACATAATTTTGCCGACATGTATGGATGAAAGCCGGTGTTTCAGCGCTGTATATGACAATCAGTTTTTAACCGACAGCTAACCTAATGCAAAACCTTATAATGCTGGGTCAGTCCGGGTCAGTCTGCTTCGAGTGTAGACTATAAGATTAAAATTACTCGAACAGCTCGCACCAAGAACTCATTCACCTCGATGTGGCATAATTGGTAATTCCCGGTAACTTTCATCTCTCTAATGTTGGGCTTGTAGCAGAACTAGTCGCTTATGTTGTTATGATCATCAATATAATCTTCCTCGCGCATCCAAACTTCAAACAGTGAAATAAACCGGCAAGAGTTGAAGGACGCACAAGTTAGCTCACACGCCCGTATATATTATCACATTGGCACGAAAGAGGAGTGCAGATACATATTCACCATGAGCTAAAACCTGACCTTCGTCTAGCGCGTCACGAGCCTTGCAGATAATGCTAGACTTCCTCTGGTGCCTAACGCTGAGCGAGTTGGCGAGAGGAGGAGGAGAAGAAGAAGACAGCGAGAAGTTGAGAGAAAACTTCTTCAGCATCACCCCTCCTCTTTGTGTCGGCAAATTTAGCACCCCTTTGCAAGCGAACGCAACCGGACGGTCGCAACACTGCAAGACCCTACCTCTCGTTGCGCTCATCATCTGTACATTCTGCTCCATTCTCTTCTACCCTCTCTCTCTTCTCTCTGTGTCTCTCCCCCTCTCTCCAAATGAACTGTGAGATGTTTCTTTTGTTGACTGAGCTAATTCCTATGAAGTCTCTGCTTTGGATCTTTTTGTTCTCTTTTGGGCGTTCTTTATTCTATTCGTTCGTTTGTTTTCCTGTGCTCCCGGGGATGAACGAGAAGTAGAAGAGCCTGTGAACGGGAATGGGAGTGGATAGATAGATACTTGTGGGGGATCGTGAGGTCCTGAAGCCGTTCGGGTGCATGTGGATGGTAATAACTAGAGAGTGAGCGAGCTAAGCTATGAGGTTTGGGTGGAAACGAAACGAGCAGCACAAAAGCAATGGATAGGAGCAAACAACCAAAATCTCCTTTGTCCTCTCCTTTACTTGTAAATCTATGCATAGCTAAAGATGATCATAGGCCTGCAAGCTGCTGGGCTATCTAGGCCCGGTTGGCCTGAAGGGTAATCTGGGTTGTTTTTTCGGTAAGTGATTTTTCTAGAGAAAAAACCCACAAAAAAAATCCCAAACTATACCCACCGCGACACATTTATCATGAATTTTTTTATGATGTCAAAAACCCCAAACTATGTCAACTGTGACATATTTATCATGAAATTTTTTATGACATCAAAAACCCTAAACTATGCCCACTATGATATATTTATTCTAAATTTTTTCTCGTGATATAAAAAATCTCAAACTTGTACCTATGTGACATATTTACTTTTCGTTAATATTTAGTTAGATGATTTTTTAGCCAAAACAATGCCGTTTTTATTTCACTTAAGCTACATGAGTGCCATTTCAGTACTATTTGTTTTCTGGAGTCAACGTAGGCAAATTTTTAACAGTTTTCATTGACAGAACTTTGATAGAGGGTTAATGTATTACATAGGTATGGGTTTGGGATTTTGGGTGCTTAAGAAAAAAGTTTAGGGTATATTTATCACCATAGACATAATTTGATATTTTTGGTGGCTTTTACCCTTTTTCTTGTCATGTCCAATCGATTTTGAGTAGGGAGTTTAATTGAAGTTCTCTTTTAATCAAACCACACCTTCAGCCTCGAGTATAAGAAACCGGGAAAAGTGCCAAAAAAGTCCTAAACCTTTTGCATTTGTGCCAATTCAGTCCTAAACCTTTTGCATTGGTGCCAATTCAGTCCTAAACCTTTTGCATTGGTGCCAATTTAGTCCTAAACTTTTTTTTGTGCTAATTCAGTCCTAAACCTTTTGCATTGGTGCCAATTCAATCCTAAACCTTTTGTCTTTGTGCCAATTCAGTCATTCCGACCAATTTTGGCTGGATTTTGCTGACGTGGATGCTGACCGGCCAGTGGCGGGTCACCAGCGCTGACGTGGAGAACTTTAATAATATTTTAATAATTTTTTTGAAATTTTAATAATTTTTTTCTTTAATTTTTTTCCCCCTCACCTTCCTCCTTCCTCCAGCCAGTCGTCGGACCGGCGACCGACCAGAGGCTAGAGACAGGCATTGGTGAGGCTCGACCTCGCCAGATCCGGCGAGGTCGGGCCTCGCCTAGCTGCTGGCGAGGCTCGCCTTCACTGTCTTTGGCGAGGGCGAGCCTCGCTAGCGGCTGGGCGAGGCCCGACCTCGCCGGCCTTTGGCCTTTGGCCAATGGCCGGTTCGGCGACCGGTTGGAGGAAGGAGGGAGGGGAGGGGGAAAGAAAAGAAAAAAAGAAAAAAATTCAAAAAAATATTAAAATATTATTAAAGCTGTCCACGTCAGCATCGGTGACCGGCCACTAGCCGGCCGGCATCCACGTCAGCAAAATCCGGCTAAAAGAACTGAATTAGCACTAAAACAAAAGGTTTAGGACTGAATTAGCGCCAATATAAAAAAGTTTAGGACTGAATTGGCACCATAAAAATGTTTATGACTGAATTGGCACCAATGCAAAAGGTTTATGACTGAATTGGCACAAAAAAAAGGTTTAGGACTAAATTGGCACAAATGCAAAAAGTTTAAGATTTTTTCAGCACTTTTTCCATAAGAAACCGTACAAAATAAAACGGGGCAAAGGATATGATTTCTTTGCTAAAAAAAAAAGGATATGATTTCAAATCTAAAAAGGATAACCACACAAAAGTTTCCTAAACTTTGGCCAAACGTGAAATATGGTTCTCGAATTTTTAATTTTGTTTAATATAGTTTCTAAACTTTACTCCAATGTCCAATTTGATCTATAAATTTTTAATATGTTTAATGTGGTCCTCGAGCTTTTAGCAATGTTCAATTTAATCCCTAAACTATGTGAAAATGTCTAATGTTATCCTTCCGTTCCGTTATTTCAATTTCAAGGACAATATTGAACATTTTCATATAGTCCTAGGACTAAATTGAACATGTAGCAAAAGTCCAGGGACTATATTGAATAATTTAAAAGTTCAAGATTGAGCTGGAGTTTAGGGACTATATTGAATCAATTAAAAGTTCAATGATTACATTACACATTATGCCAAAATTCATGGATTACTTGTGTTATTTCCCCAATCTAAAATGACGTAAAATACATGTTTTTATTTTTTCGATAAATAGAAGTTTAGGAGGAGGGGAGATTACCGTTCGCCGAGATCGGGGCATATCGCGTAAGGTAGATGTTTCAAAATTAGAGGACGATGCGAACAATGTAATCCAAAAAGGTAAAGTTTTTATGAATTTTCCTCTTGGATTTTCATAATCTTATTATTATGGTTATAAATTATGTTGATCAATGGACTTCAGAAGAGACCTTTGCTCATCAGGGTACGAACAAGTAGCTGGGCATACCCACAGAGAGAGAGAGAGAGAGAGGGAGAGAGACCCAACGAAGCAAAAACTGAGGAACCCGGGAAAAGAGAGAGCTTGCCCTGAAGGCTGCACGAAAGCAGTTCAATTGGGTAAAGACACAAGGAAATAGTGCAAAAAAATCGCAGCTTTGTGGTGAGAATTGACACGGGAGGCATGGAAAAAATGGCTTCTTCAAGCCAAAGAAGCGACTCCAACAATGGCAACACCTTCTTCGATGTCTATGGACCTGAGGTGCTCTCTCTCTCTTTCTGGGTTTCGGTCTAAACTGTTCTTTTTTTTTTTTTGGGGTGTTGGGTTGGCGAGAAGCAACTTTTTTCTTTTGCCGGAGAGTTTAAATTGCTCATATTTAGCTTGTCTGCTTGAGTATAATGGACCGAAGATGTCACCTTTCTGTTGGAATAGCATTATAAGACAACTAGTCGTGTTTAAAGAGGTGATATCTTCACTAGTTCTATGTGGTTTAAGGGGGAGGTAAGGGTTTGGATTTGCCTATTGGATTGACCCAACTTTCGCAGGCTAAAGCAGAAGTTGTCTTGAAGACTCCTGACGCTAACTCAACCTTGAATTTGCAAGTAATTTCCCTTCTTATTCTCCTGTTCCTGAACATTTCTTTTGGTGCTGCTATGATATGTAGACATTTGAGCTTTTTGGTGAAACAGGATGTTCAAGGACTTGTCACCTGGGTTCTCGCCGAAGGATTTATGCCATCATGGGTTTTCATTAAAGTAAATAACTTCTCATTTCTTTCCCCTGAACGGCTGTGATTGATATCTGCTGATTCGGTCGCTGCATTTTGCATTATGTTTTTTATTGATGTTGGCTAAGGTAATGAGGTGATTGACTGTATGGAATACATAAAAAAACAGATAATGTAGTGTATAACTGCATCTTTTGGATGATTGCTAGATGGAGAGAGAGTTCACGTTTACAATTGAATGGTGTTAACTCTGCATGATGTATAAGGTCTTTTGTTTATGTAGTTTGATGCACGTGGAATTGTGCAGTTATAGTGATGTTTTTCTGTTGCTTTCTGCAAGCTATCATAATATCTGGCTTACCATTCAACTGTAGCTTTTACGAGAATCACGTCTGTTCTACATGCTAGGATACTTCATTTTTAAGTAGCCTCTCTCTATATGAATTGTCTGTTGTCTACTGTACCAGTCTTTTGGTGTTTGATTCATGGTGCTTTGGCTTGCTAGAGGTCCATTTTACTTCATGAACCGTAATTTGTTAGATTGAACTTGAGCAGTTCTACTCTTATCCATTTTGTTTATACAACATACAAATATTAAGGCAGCAAACTGTATGGGGAAGTAAACTGCTACTTCCGATCTTCAAAGGAAACCACAGTCCTAGAATAGATAGTGTATGTGCTGTTATCGTGCTTGTTCCCATACTCTTCGTTGCATACTATTTGTTACTTTCAATATTTATCAGTACTTTTGGTGCAATTTGCAGAATAAGCCCCTTATTCCAAAAGTGGTCATGCTTTATATCCCAGGACTGGATGCTGCACTGTATATGTCAAACTCCAAATTACTTGCTGGGCTTAAACAATGTTGTGGCAATCCAAGGGCAGTTATGGCTCTAAGGTTGTTCAAACTTTCTTCCTCCTCTTGTCTTTGTTGTATTTGTCAGGTGTCTTTTTGCATGCTAAATGCATCAAATGCTCAATCCTCATAGGATTTTGGTGTTTATTCCATGCTAGTTGTGTATCAGATGGGATGCAGACCATAGATGCACTTCTGACATGCAAGCTCAAGAGAAAAAGAAGTCAAAGTGATTTGGCAGAAAACCCTAATCAGATATATGGTAAAGGTCCGTTGTGAATCTCATGGAAGTTCTTTGGCATAGAAGATTATTTCATTCTGGCTTACATGTCAACTATACGGCAACTTTTCTCTCAATTTTTTGTTTGACATGATACTACATTCCCTTCCATGGGAACTGCAGCCAGCGGCTGCAGAGAACAAACGAAGGGCTATCAAAACAGTTTATGGACTGACCAGTTAAGAAACAAACCAAAATAATGCTGCTTTTGGGACGTAGTTGCTTACATGAAGAGAACAAAAAGCTAATCACCTAGTTCTATTATCATTTGTTGGGATGGAAATATTTTCTTAGCTTTGAAGATAAGAAAAAAGTGAAAGGAAGATCATACGGTGGCAACATGAAAAATTAGTGGTAATTTAGGGGGAAATATTTGGATCTTTCTAGAGAGGGATTGTTGATGATTGGTAAAGTCACAGCTGTATCTGTATTGATAATCTGGCAACAATCACTTTTGTGATGATTATACAGTAGATGACATCATTGCCACCAGATCAAATTTCTGATTGCACTTGTTTAATTATTTTGTGCTGTTCTAATTGCTGACTATCCTGATGAACTTATCTTTCAATTAACAAAAGTAGCAATGTTGTTGCCACAGATCTATCCACTTTGGAAATCCTGAAAAATATACCATTTCCCATCTCATATTACACACTCACGGCCAAAGAACTAGAAGACAATGGTTACTGTCTCAGCCAACCAGGTAAATAGAAATCCGTCATTTATCAGTTAAATTTGGTTTGAAAGTTTTAGCTCACAATTCTTTCTCATACGATGAAGTAGCTGCTTATGAAGCATTGATGTTACAGGATTTGTGTCTACTCTTCCTGCTCCTTCAGGATCTTGTCCCTATGAATTGTTGGCTCTTGATTGTGAGATGGTATGGAACATCTATGACTGATCTTGAAACGTACATTATTGTTAATTGTCAAAGAATTGTTTACTTGTCCTTTGGTTCTTTATCTTTTTATTAGTTCTGAGGCTTACATAGATACGATCCTAATGGATTCTGGATGATTGATGACAGTTTTCTGATAGGGAGTGGTAAATAGGAAATAGCCCATGATCATCTTTTTATTTTCAAATTCGTGCTTTTCTCAATGAGCAACTTGCTGTTGTCGCCCTGTTGAAAGAGTAGAAGCCTGGTGTAAATTACAAGTTAATTTCTTGTCATTCAAGCAAAGGTTTAGAATACATAGATTTCCAAGAATAGCTTGTTAGTTGCTATATCCTTGTTAATTTTCTGTTATTTCAGTGCATTACAGGCGAGGGCTTCGAACTCACCAGAATTACCCTTGTTGATGTGAAAGGAGAGGTATTCATATAATCTCACTTTTCATCTAGTTTTTAAAGAAATAAGTCCTCATAATTTCATTTTCCTTTTTCTCCTTGTTTTCACTCTTTTGGTTCTTTGGGCTTGAGAAAGTGGAGGGAGTGCTGGTGGTTGAGGAAGGAGGGTATTTTTAGTAGTTGTTAAGGAGAGAGATTTCAAAATGGTATTTTATTTCCATCTAACTCCTAAGTTATTAGTTGCAATGCTGAACTTTTTTTTTTGTTTCGAGAGTGGTTTGACTAAGGCAGTGGGTGCTATATCGAGAGATAGTACAAAAGTTTCAGGTTTTTGTGTTGATGAAAACAGTTTTCCATTAGTCTCTACTCTTTGAACTGGTTAATTGATTCATTGTAGATGGATCTTGCAACATAGTGATGATACCTACTAATTTTGTGTATACCCTGTCGTAGTAACTAACTTGTTAGCTGGCACTGAGATCATTGGCCCTTTCTTGTGCTATTTAATATATATTGAGTTATCATTTTCATGAGTTTGAATTGAATTGCAAATTTATTGGCTCTTTCATGTGACTATTTTTAGGTGGTTTTAGATAAACTTGTCAAACCAGCAAATCACATAGTCGATTACAACACTAGGTATGGTTTCTTCTGTTATGCTTTTGCTTACTTCTCTTACATCATTTGCCTTGCTGTTCTGTTGGGTGAAGTTGATGTATGTAAGTATGGGAATTTCAGCAACAGCTTCTCAAGCAATGCATGAACTTATTTCTTTCTCAAATTTGTTGGGTCTTACAGGTGACATTTGGCTGATGTAAAGATGTTTATGACTGAGCTAATGCACATTTGGCTCGAGTAGCTCAACCCTTGAGAAAACTCTTCATTCATATATTTTCATGTATTTTTGTGTATATGCAACAGTCTATTTTGGTGGGGCGCTGGGGTGCAGTTGTATGACGGGGCTCATTTGGGGTTGTGAAGTTCTGTTAGCCATTGAATATATAATGAAGCACATTCTTTTCCTTGAATGGAGTGAATTGTTGTCTAACTTTGCAAATACTGCAATACTGGTTTAAGAAATTGATATGAAGAATATGTCTATTGTTGTCCAATTCCCCTGGTAGTCTGTTGTTGTTCTCCATTGACCATATTGAGTTCTCTGCTGTAAAGGTTAAGATCCGTTCATTTATCAGTGCAAATGTTCTCTCTCTCCCTCTCTCTCTCTCTCTCTCTCTCTCTCTAGTCCACTTATGTGAGCCCAAACATTTTCTTTTTCTCTTGAAAAGAAATGTCTCCATCTAAGGACCATTGATCTTTTTTGTGGTTGAGCTCTGTATTTTGCCTTTTTCGATAGTACTTGATGTGGCAATTTCGAAATTGTCTGTCTCTGTCAAGTCAATATCTTATGGGAAAAGCATAAAGACATGTATACATACATACATACATATATATATTATATAGAGAGAAAAGAGTTATTTATTCTTCACCCCTTATATCCTTGGGCCAAGCAGATTTTCTATTGGATGTGTTGGATTCATGATGTAAAATGCAGATATCCTCTTTGTGTGCACTCCTCTGGGTAGTTTTTAATTTTTATCAGTACGAAATGCCTTGGGTGGAGATCAGGACATGAATGATGTAACTATATGCAACGTTTTTTCTCTTCTCCCAATTTGTAGGATTAAAAGGTAATGAGTAAGTGAGTGCAATAATTATGTAGTGGGAACTTCTCTTCTTGTGGACTTTTTATATTAGTATTGGACACTGGTTAGAATTTCTTATCATTTTAGTCCCTCTAACTATGAATTTACAAGTGAGATTATTTTTGCACGGAAATGTGACTGCTATATGTGGAACTTTTACTGTTCTTGCCAACTATATTTTCTAATGTCCGATAATGATTACAATTTCTTATCGCCTTTTGTTCACCCAAAAAATCCCATCTCTAACTATGATGATGTGACTGAGCATACTGCGGTTGAAATTTGACTACTTTTTATGATTATGTATCCAGGTTTAGTGGAATCACCTTTGAGATGCTGGATGGTGTTACAACAAGTCTTGAGGATGTTCAAGTGAGTCATTTGTATGTTTGACAATGCAGTTCTACATGCATTTCTGTGCGCCTGCATCTGCATGCTTTCTTTTTTTTAGTGTAGCTTCGTTGTTTTTTTGTGCTTCCTCCTCTTAATGATGTTTCCTTGTCTCCTAATTTTTTGGTACCCTTGATCAGAGAGATTTCCTTAAGCTGGTTTACCAGGAGACTGTTCTAATTGGGCATTCGTTGGAGAATGACTTGTTGGCATTGAAGATTTCTCATAAATTGGTAATTGACACATCAGTAATGTACAAGCACCGTGGAGGGTCTTACAAGCCTGCTCTTCGTGTGCTTGCCAAAAGATTTCTTTCCAGATGCATACAACAGTCGGAAAGTGGACATGACAGTATTGAAGATGCAAGAGCTACTATGGAATTAGCATTGCTAAAGATTAGACATGGTAAGTGATTCATGGATGTTGCATTTGGATAAAGCCCTGTTGTCTGTATTTAATAATTTTTTATAAAGCCCTGTTGTCTGTATTTAATAATTTTTTAAACTTATATGTTGATTTTGTTTGTTTATTCCTATATAATGCAGGACCTGATTTCGGAGCTCCTCCATCATTTATTCGGAAGAAGTTTCTTACAGTTTTAAGTGAGTGTGGGAAAATTACCTCTTTCATTGATGAGATATCGACGGTCAAGAGATATGCTGCTGGATCGTCCCATGTGTTACCAGTGTCTTCTGATGATGATGCTCTTTTGAAGGCCACAAAGGAGGTAGATGTTTAGGAGTCATTGAGTTTGCTTTTTGCCTCTAGTCCCACAATTTTTATAAGCCTTTTCCTTTGCAATTTGTCAGGTGAAAAGTGAACGAGCCCACTTTGTTTGGGCTCATTTCTCAGAACTATATTCCTATTTTGAGAAACAAGCAGAAGAGTCTGATAGTTTAAATAGAAGATTGGCTGAGCTGATGTCCTTGCTAACATGCAAGAAGAATTCTGTGAAAAGGAACAAGGCCAAATGTAGTATTGCGCCTGAATTAGAGGAAATTCTTGGACGTATTGATACTAGAGTCCGCAGCCTGTATGATGCTTTACCCACCAATGCCATGCTTATAATTTGTACTGGTCATGGGGACACGGCTATTGTTCGTAGGTAAGTAGACTCACCTCTCTTTTAATCATTTCTTTTTGTTAATGTTAGTGGAGTTGCTATCTAAGCTTCTGAATAAGGCAAGGGGTAGTAAAATTGTGTTTTACCACTTGAGTTAGTTGTATTGATGATATCTTTAAGTTTTTTGTACCAAGGACAGTTTATTATTTTCATGATTGTTTTCCTGGGCTGGTCATATCTTCTCTTTGGCCTTTTTAAGTTTTTAACTCTTGCATGCATCAGATTCAACATGGAAATGGAAGCAGTCGTATAGCAATTGTTTCAGATCTTTCCACTGATTATAACTTGGATGAAAAATTGCTTCTGTTGTTTTCCCTCCGGGACCGAATGTAGCTCCTGGTTTAAGATGTCATCTTAGGAATCTGCGTACTTTTGCTATCTTGTACCAACATTGGAAAGGTAGAATGACCGTAAGGGACTAGGCCGAAGTCATTTGGTTTACAAGAGTGTTGTATTAGGTAAGGCATGGAAAATCTGTGGATGTCCCAAATTGAGGAATTGGAATATTGGCGTAGTCGATTTGATTAGCTTCATTCTGCTATTCTGTTGCATTAAATTTCAGAATTTGTGCCTAATAATGTTTTTTGACTGAGCTGAGCATCGTGTAGCCTTCATTTCAGTCAGAACGTTGTGAATGATTATTCAACTTATTTCATAAGAACTTTTTCCTGCATTGATTAAGATTGAGGAAGATGCTTGCGGAGCAGAGTGAAACCACAATAGATCGTGACAAGATCGTGAAGATTTTGGAAGAGCTTCAGGCCCAAGCTGAAGTAGCTCTATGTTTTGTGGGAGTGAAGCATTGACTTTTGATTGGAGGTCCATTGGCATTCTTTTTTGTCTGGCCAATTGATTTTTGGAATTGTAGCTTTTGTAAATTTGTTTATGCTTTGTTTGCTCAGATGTTGTAGATCCGTGTTTAATTAAGCTTTCATTTGGAAAGCCTAGTTGGCATCATTTCTGCGAAAAAAGAAAATATTGGAAAGCATCTTTAGTTTTGGGACTAGAGTGTGTTGATTCTTTTTTCCAGTATCGCTTGGGTTAGAAAAGAAAGAGCAAGTCAATAAGAGACGTTTCTCCAGTTTCCAAGAGGTAGATTTGAACTGTTTCTATAGTTTCTCTGCTGCAATCCTGAAACATTCTGTCAAACTTGCAGTCGATTCGTGCTTTCTTCATTCATCTCAGGTAGAGGAAAATCTTCAACCCCGTGTGGTTCACTCTCAAGTCGGGTCTGGAAGGTCACGGTTTCAAGACTACCAACACTACATCGACTTATTTTCTGGTTAAATTAATTGGCATCTTTGGTTCTCTGTTCTGTGGCAATAAGGGAGTACACACGTTCTGAGATTAGTCCGGTCATGCGGGTTCCTCGGGTTCTGCGTCATTAACTCCTTAGCTGATATTGCTGCAGGGAATTTCACTTTTTGCGAAATCATGTTTATGTTTCGTGAAGGAATTCATATTGGAAAGTAGAGTACCCATTGTCCAAGTCCAAAAATTGCAGAAATTGAAGATGTACCCGGAAGCTGGTTCTGGATGTCCTAATTCAGAAAATTTACAGCGTGTTGTTCTAATCTTGTTTGCCAAAACTCTTCCTCTTGTGAACTTCCCTGGTTTCACTCACATCATGTGCATGCTTCAGTGGAGCAAAAGAAGTAAATGCTCTCTCTGTTCCACCTAACCCCACTTCAAAACTTGGAGACACTCGATCAAAATTCGAAGGGAATCATGATAATTATAGCAGCATCTTAAGTCGAGCAATATCATCTCAATATGAATATTTTCTTCTTCTTCTTCTTCTTCTTCTTCTTCTTCCTTTTTTACTGACAAAGAGTTTAGGGACTTGGACTTAATTTGTAGAAAATTATAGGGGCTATACAAACTCAAGGTTTTCTTTTTTTGGGTTATTTTCTCTCCTGTTCTTGAGTCTATTCGTGAATCATCAACGAGATAACCGAGAAGTGATGCTGTTTTAGTTCAAACTCATCTCCTAATTGATTTCCAAACAATGACTATGACCACATCAGAATATTCTGCAAAATGAAAAAAGTCAACTTTTGAAGTTTATCATCCACCCATTGCCCAGAATGGATGTGCACAGTCAACATGACCGATCAACGCTCTCTTCAACAATTTTACACTGATGAGAAATGAGAAACAAAAGAAAAGCCTTGAATCCACATCTCATCAAAATGTAATTTCTGTGGGTAATCTTCTTCTTTCTTCTGGGAATTTGCCATACGAGTTTCATATCCTTGATTCATCGACCGCTCGTTGATTTGATATTCTAAACTTCATCGATGCAACGACTTTCTCACAATAGAAAACTTTTAATTGTGGATGAAGTGATATTTTCATGCCCCAAAACTAGTTTCTTTGCGTCTACATGCAAGTTTTTGGATTGAAAAAAAGCAAAATTGTGAGAGGGATTCATAATATGGGACTGTGAAGCACATGATAGTGACATTTGAGACAGTGAGAGAGATTAATTCAATGAAGTAGTCACTTTACTGAAACATAATCTTGAATTTTGTGGGCTAATCTATGGAGGTTGAGATAATGATATGACATCAACAAAATTTAAGGTGTAAAATGCATTCTGATAATGGATTTAAGACCTAGTAGGTACGGTGTCACGCAAACGGAGCACATCATATATGATAACCGTCTCAAACTTCGCTTTTACTTGGTCGAAAGCGACATCGTCCGAGCTGATATACCGCATACTAAGCTAGACCTCACAAGCAATTTAAACTAATCGAATTGATTATTCAGTTAAACTTGAGATCATCTATCGTTAGCCGATGGCGGCGTGGTTCCACAGTATGTATGTTTACCTACTTTGATTTAGCATCCCAATGTTGACCCCTCATCACAACAATCAGCTGGAAAATCAATTACAAGGAGAGGGCAAATGAAAACGTCTCACGTTAGCCAAGTTTAGATGTCACAATCTTGTATATTTATCGATAGCGAAGAATGTTATATAGCGATCATCCTATTAATTTACAGGAACTGGTCATAAACCAAATTGGGTTACCAAATTGTATCTTTACAAGCGATCTTGTGACTAATACATATCCATTTTCAAGTTACTTTCGTTAAGGATGAGGATGACTCGTACGGGTTATTCAACATAAGCTCTCATTTCAGGAAAAAGTTTTCTTTCACCATTGTATGCAGAATCTTGAGTTTGTGAAGCTTTATATGCGTTCATTCATCGATGAAAATAAGAATTAAGCCTAACCTGCTTTAACCTGATTGATAATGCAAAATTGATAATTCGTACTTATCACAATAAAAGATTGGATTATCTGTCGAAAACGAGCTTATTGAGATACAGAATAAGGAATAAGCCAAATGGATAGACCTTGATATTGAACCTTAGAGACCAATCATCATGAGGAGCTTGTTTAAAATCACATATCTCGGATGATAATAATATTTCTCTTGTGTTACGACGTAAACAAGTATAAGTTACTCATGACTCATGAGCTTTTCCAACTAGGCTCGGTTCTTTTCAAGTTCGAGTATCTTTTACATTGAACCATGGGAACCTTGAGATGGAAAATACTTCGATTCGAATAGCCAGCGACCTTAGTCAAGTTGTTGCAAAGTTTTTTTATTTTTATTTTCTTTTGCACTTTCAGTATTCGAATCCAACATGTATAGAGGTAATTCCTCTTATACAATTGAGTCGAGTCATGACGAGCACGAGTTTCTAAATCACTTTGGTGAATTTACAAGGTTCTAACATAGAGCTTAGTTGAATTGAGTCATGCATCAAGTCTTAGACACGCAACCATTAAGCCTATCTTGAGTGACAATCTTGTCGACTCAATTCAACTCGATCATAGTCCAAGAGGAGGTTTCAACACTTATGAATAGCGGCGAAAATTGACGAGTGATTATGTAGATCTCTTACAATCAATCAAGAATGATACGATGGGCGATAGAATGAAAATTTGGAAGCACTGAAAAATGAAACAATTTTTGAGAGTGATAATCGTCAAAATAGAAGCTTGACACTCAGCTTGGAGATTCGTATAAGCCATTTTACCAAGTCAGACTTTATTTCGCAAGAGATTGTTAGGTGCTTCAGGACCATCTCAGTCCATCTAATCATAGGTACTATTGAGTTATGGATTTATTTTTTTCTAAAATATAAATTTTAAGTATCTTGATAATATTAAGAGTTTCGTGATTAGTTGAGTGGACGAGGATTCAATCCCCTTAAAAAGATCTCTTCTTTCTATCATGGGGGATCATCGTGAGAGATGGAATCATGAGCAGCAAACCCTAGAAGGTAGCTGAACTGTCACAATCCCAGGGCACTAACCTGTCATATGCACATCATATTGGAGAAAGTGGCCAAGAAATGAGAAGTCACTTTCCGAGCTGAGATGGGGAGAACTAAGGCACCATCAGGCAGAACCTAATGCAGGATATTGATTTACTAACTCAGAAATTCCAACTAACTGTACTTCTCACCTCGCAAATCAAATTATTTTAGTCAGAACAAATTCGCGTTAGTTTCAAATCAGCATGAGGGATACAAGAAAACTCTCCCAACAATACAGATTCTTGCGGGTCACTTCACCAATTGTGTTGGATCACACGTCATCGCTGAATTCTTCTTGTAGCCATAGAACCTGTACACCTGTCTTGGAATTGATGATTGCCTTCCACGGCTGCTGAATGGCAAGAAAAAAGCTGTGTGGATTGTATGCGTATTGCTCATTAGGTATAGCTTACTAACAGTAGGAAAATTCATGTCATCTATAGCGTGCGGAACTATATTCAGATGATTCTCGGTGTGAATATAGGAAGAGAGGACACAAATAATTAGGTTAATTGTATAGAGGAGTAAAGATAGAGACCTAGTGCAATTTCTATGCACCAAAAAACTACGTTTGCACGTGCAAGAGCACGATGAGATAATATCCTCATAGCCAAAAGCCGATTCTAACACAACGCAAACACGATGAATTCGAAAGCTGGTAGCAAAACTTTGATACGTTCCGACAAGTTTTTCATTTCGTTTACATTCCATAAAACATGATGCTAGAATAATTCTCCAGTGATGGACATGACAACACGACACGGATTGCGACTCTTAACATAATTTAAAACCCGTAAAGAGAATCAACTAGCCATATCTCTTAACTCCTAAGAAACTCTGCACCTTTTTTTGGACATGGCCTAAGAATCATATTCTTAAGTATTCAATGAAGCCAGCACAATATCAACCACCGTGCAACCCAACGCATTGAATGATGATAAGGAAAAAGGGTAAGCTTTTAAATGGTGGAGTTCACGTAGCTAGCTAAGAATGGAGGTAATTTGTGATTCGGCGTGTGAATGGAAATGGGACATAGGAGTAGTCAAACCAGTTTGTTAAAGGATTTTTAGGTATGTTGATGTCAACTGAGGTTGTGCGTGCGTGCGTGGTTAGGAAGAGGAAGGGGAGGTGTTTTCTTAAGAAGGTGGTATTATTGCTTTCAACAAAAGGACGTTTAATTTGAAAAGAAACGGATGTTTGGCTAGGCAAGTAACTGAAAAATATGCTTTAGAGTTCATAATTTTGAAAGCTATTTCAGACCCATCAGTTTTTTCATCACAGAGAGAGAGAGAGAGAGAGAGAGAGAGAGAGAGAGAGAGAGAGAGAGAGAGAGAGAGAGAGAGAGAGAGAGAGAGAGAGAGAGAGAGAGTTGACATCTTTGATTGTTTGCTAGGCAGGCTCAAAGGAACATGGCTTGTTACAAGAGTTGATGAATCACTTTCTTGCGAGACGAAATAAGCAGCCATGGCTAACTGTAGTGACACGTACAGATGAAGAATCTGCTTTGATCAATCAATAACTTTGCCCCCTCTCCAAATTTGTCTTCGAGCTCGACTCAATCAGTGACCCGATTGGACGAATTTCACGAAAGTGCAAATGA